AGGATCGAACCCAATGCCTCAGCATGCTGGACAAGCACTTTTCATCTGAGCCACAACCACAGCCCAGTGCCATGTTTTTTTATGTGTCAACTTAACTGGGCTATGGGATCCTTGGTAAACATATTTTGAGTATTTCTGTTAGGAATGTTGGATGAGATTAACATTTAAATGGGTGTACCAAGTAAAGGAGATTGTTCTTCCCAGGTATGATGGTGCATGCCTGTAATCCCAACTACTCAGGAGGCTGAGATAGGAGGATCCCAAGTTGAAGGCCAGCCTCCACAATTTAGTGAGACCTTGTCTCAAAATAAAGAGGGGCTGGGGTTGTGGCTTATTGGTAGCTTGCTTGTCTAGCATGTGTGAAGCACTGGATTCAATCCTCAGCACCACATAAAAATAAATAAATAAAATAAAGATATTGTGTCCATCCACAACTAAAAAAACAAACAAAAAAAATTAAATAAAGAAGGTTGGGGATGAAGCGCATTGGCCCACCTAGCATGCATGAGGCCCTGGGCTCAATTCCTAGTACTGCCAAAAAAATAAAAAATGAAAAAAAAATTAAATTAATATCCCTGCATGATTAAAAAAAAAAATAGATTGCTCTGCCCAGGGTGAGTGTTGAAGGCATGAAGAGAACAAAAGGGCTGGTCCCTGAATGAGGGTTTCTCTGCCTGGCTGCCTTTGATTTGGGATGTGTCTGCTTCCTGGTGTTTCCTGCAGCGGAAACACCAGCCCTTCCTTGAGCCTGTGGCCTCCAGACTCAAATTATACTTCCAGCTCTCCTAGGCCTCCAGTTTGCTGACTCACAGGGATGATTTTGAGACTTGTTGCCTCTGTGCTTTTGTGAGATAATTCCTTACAACAACCCTCTTTTTATCCGAGTACCCCACCCCCATGACCTGCCCCCCACGCTATGGTTCTGCCTCTCTGGAGAACTCTGACAAAACATGTATGTTCTGAATTTTAGAAACATTCCCAGCACTACTTTAACCTAGAACACAATTTAAAAGCCAAACTTACTTTTTTTTTGTCCTGAGGATTGAACCCAGAGGCACTTAACCACTGAGTCACATCCCAGCCTCTTTTTAAATATTTTACTTAGAGACAGCCTTGCTAAGTTGCTGAGGCTGGCTTTGAACTCGCAATCCTCCTGCCTCAGCTTCCCGAGCCCCTGGGATTACAGGCCCGTCCACCTCGCCCAGCTGATGCTTGCCTTTGATGCCTTTCCATCCCTGGAGCCCTTTTTAAATCTGAGCTCTTCTCCTTTTTCCCCAGATTTCAGGCACATGGGACCCAGTGGCTGCCCTTGGTGCTGCACTGTGGTCTGACCAGGGCCTGCCTCGTTCCTCACGGAAGGCCCGATTTTCCATGCTTTCAAAATCAGTGGTTTTGCTGGTTGCAGTGGTGCACGCCTGTAATCCTGGTGACTCAGGAGGCTGAGGAAGGAGCATCCCTAGTTCAAAGCCGGCCTCAGCAACTTAGCAAAACCCTGTCTCAAAACAAAAATTAAGAGGGCTGGAGATGTGGCTCAGTGGGAAACACCCCTGGGTTCAATCCTTGTTACCCCCCAACAAATAAAAAAGAGTTTATAGTCCGAGACCCTCAGCATTTACTTCTCTCCCATCGGCAGTAGATTTTTTTTTCTATTGTGCAACCCAAACTGCCCTCACCGACATCACAAGTATTAAAGATGTCGCAAAATACCACGAACTCTTTGCACCCTCTTTCACCTAATGTCACAGAGTTCTTCACACAGTGTCCCTTGTTTCACGCTGGTGGCTGAGGTGGCCCTCACTGTTGGCTCTTCTTCTACCTCTTTCCTTTGCCACCTTCTCTGATGTTTCCATTATTAGATGTCAGTGGTCTGTTGGGTTCTGTTCTATGTTTTCTTTCTGTTCTAAATGCTCACTGTGACTTTGGTGGCTTCAATCTTCATTTTTTTTTTTTGCCCCAGGGATTGAACCGGGAGTGCTTTCCTCCACTGAGCCCCATCCCCAGCCGTTTCTTCTTTTTTGGTACCAGGGACTGAACCCAGGAGCACTTCACCACTGAGCCATATCCCCAGCCCTTTTTTGTATTTCATTTAGAGACAGGGCCTCACTGAGTTGCTTAGGGCCTTGCTAAATTGCTGAGGCTGGCTTTGAACTCAAGATCCTCCTGCCTCAGCCTCCCAAGCTGCTGGGATTTTAGGTGAGCACCACACGCCCAGCTATGGCTTCAATTTTTAATCAATATGTGATGAATGGCTCAGTTCTCTTGAGTTGATATATATATATCTCAATTTTCTTTTGCACATCTGCTTTTGAGTATGCAACATCTCCCAAAAGTAAACGTATCTTACTCCAAACCTGATTCCTTCTAAGAATGTTTTCATCTCAGCGGTTGGTGACTTATAGTGATCCTCCCAAGAAACCTAGCCTTGAGCCCTCCCCTCATCACTTCCACATTGTCAATCAGCCTGTCTTGATGATACTTCATCCTAAATATCTCTCCAACCTGAACACCCCTTTACTCTGACCTCATCCATGCTACTAAGTCAATATTTCCTTCTCTAGATCCCTGCAACAGTCAGTGATCTCCTTTCTGGCTTCCTTCCTTGCCCACAGTCTAATTTCACATCCCTCCAATACACTGTTCACAGTACAGCCAGACTAGTATTTTTTATTATTATTTTTTGGGTACTGGGAATTGAACCCAGGGATGTTTAACTACTGAGCTATAGCCCCAGCTCTTTTTATTTTTTATTTTGAGACAGGGTCTCTTTAAGTTGCTATAGCCTCACTAAATTGTTGAAGCTGGCCTTGAACTTGCAATCCTCCTGTCTCAGCCTCCTGAGTTGCTGAGATTACAGGTGTGCCCCACTGCATTCAGGCTCCAGAATAGTCTTATAAAACAAAATTCAGATCATATTGTAATAACAATTACAGCTCTTTAGTGGTTTTCTATTACCCTTAGGATGCACTTTGGTCTCTTCAGCATGACTCCCAAGGTTTTTTTTTTTTTTTTTTTTTTTGCCATGTTACAGGTTTACAAGAACTCAGACTCCTCCAGCTTCATCTAGGGCAATCCTTCCCTGTCCCACCCTGTGCTCCAGCCACATCCAAACAACTTTGATTCCTTACATGTTCTTGCTTTGTCCTGTGTCTGGGCCTTTGTGCTTACTCTGTGTATCTGGGATGCTCCTGTCTAACCTCTTTGCTCCCTCATCTTTATTTTGATGACCCTCAGGCTTAGGCCTTGCTTCTGTGATCCTAAGCTAACACCCAATCCTGGGTCAGGCTTCTGAAGTACCCAGCAGTCACTCCTGGGCTAGCAGTCACCGTGCCCCCTCAAGACTGCCTGGTGGAGACAGGAAGCCTCTCACGGTCAGGGACTCCCCGTCTCATCGTCGACTCCCGGGGCCCAGGACAGACCCGTTTTGTAACAGGAGCTCAGTGTTTGTGATATCATGAGTGAGCCCTGTCATTGCTTTGGTCATACTTCCCATTAAACCGGTTGAACAAAAGGTACAAAGCTGGTCAGGAAGGAGCAGAAACAAGTTCTCAGGACTTGATGGTAGTCGTGTTTTTTAAGTTAATTAAATTTTTTTTTTGTAGTAGATGGACAGAATGCTTTTATTTTTATTTTATTTTTTTTTAGAGAGAGAGAGATAATTTTAATATTTATTTTTTTTAGTTTTCGGTGGACACAACATCTTTGTTTGTATGTGGTGCTGAGGATCGAACCTGGGCCGCACGCATGCCAGGCGAGCGCGCTACCACTTGAGCCACATCTCCAGCCCAACCTTTATTTATTTTTATGTGGTGTTAAGGATCGAACCCAGTGCCTCACACATGCCAGGCAAGCGTTGTGCCACTGAGCCCCAGCCTCAGCCCTTAAGATAATCTGAATTCAGAGTGTTTGCAGTTTTACAGGCTTAGGCTTGCTAGGGGGTCTTCATGGGCTGTTGGGATATTGCAGCTTAATCTGAACCCTAGCCAGTTGGCACCGCCCTTTGACAGACTTTTAGATTATTATTTTTTTTCTAACAGCTTTATTGAGATATAATTCATATGCCAAACTATTCACCCACTTAGAGTGTATAATTTGATGCTTTTTAGTATATTCATTGGATAATGCAACTATCACTACAATCAAGTTTAGGACATTTCCATCACATCAGCGAGAAACCTCATACCCATTAGTAATTGTTGCTCATTCTACTCACCCCGCCCTGCTCTCCAGCCCCTGGGAATCACTGATCTGCTTTCTGTCCCTAAGGGTTTGTCTATTATGGATGTTTCATATAAATGGCATCCTAGGCTACGTGGTCTTTGTGCCTGGATCCTCTCACTCAGAGTGATGTTTTCAAGGTCCACCCCTCTTGTTTCATGTATCAGTACTTCATTTATTTTTATTGCCCAATAATATCCCATTGTATGGATAATACCTATTTTGTTTTTCCATTCACCCCTTGATGGACATATGAGTTGTTTCTACTTCTGGCTATTGACTATTACAAATAATCAAATACAGCTGTTTATGAGCATTTGTATACAAGTTCAATTTTGTTTGTTTTTGGCACCAAGGATTGAACCCAGAAGTGCTTAACCATGAGCCACATCTGCAGCTCTTTTTATTTTTTGTTTTGAGACAGGGTCTCGCTAAGTTGCTTAGGGCCTCACTGAGGCTGGCCTTGAATTTGTGGTCTTTCTGCCTTAGCCTCCCGAGTTGCTGGATTTAAAGGTGTGTACCACCGTGCCCAGCTTGTGTACATGTTTTTATGTGAACATATGTTTTCATGTTTCTTGGGTATATACCTAGGAAAGGAATTACTAGATCATTGAGAGTATTTAAGATTCTTGTGAACAGAGGGTGCTCAATTTTAGAGAATAAGCTCACAAACACAGGAAGCATAAGATGTTAATTTTATTTATTTATTTATTTATTTTTTTGAGAAAGAGAGAGAGAGAGAAAGATAGAGCGAGAGATTTATTTAGATAATATTTATTTTTCAGTTCTCGGCGGACACAACATCTTTGTTTGTATGTGGTGCTGAGGATCGAACCCGGGCCGCACGCATGCTAGGCGAGTGCGCTACCGCTTGAGCCACATCCCCAGCCCAAGATGTTAATTTAGTCGTAAGCAATTTTACAACTGGTTCCTTGCAGAATCGCATGAGTCAAGTTTTTCTGCCCAACACAAAGTCAACAGATGAGCAAAGCTTGATTCTTCCATGGTGATAAGGTAACAGCACTCTTCCTGGGTTCCACAGAAGCGGGAGAATTCAGTACCTGTTTGCACCCATTCCTACCCTCCCTGCTCCCTTGCACCTGGTAGAGCTGGCCAACCGAGTGACCCAGGAAAGCTCCTACGGGGGGCCTTGGCTTCCTCAGTCTCCCTCTAACATTGGACTGTTCTTCAGTATCATGTAAATTAACATGATAAAGTTATGGGACTCCTGTCAATTATAGATAGAGGATTCCTTTAGCAAGTATATCATATTCAGATCAACACAGGCACCCTAAAAGTAGTTGTCCTGGAAATAATATACACTTATTCTAAAAAAAATTTGGTTATTACTCAAAATATTTTGGTTACTTATTATGTAGAGTTACTTTGAAAATCAATCTGAGGGGCTGGGGGTGTGGCTGGGTGGGAGAGCACTTGCTTACTACATGCAGGGCCCTGGGTTCCACCCCTGGTAACACACACACACACACACACACACACACGCAAACTCTAAAATAACAACAACAAATCAGTCTGAGCCCTACTGAGGAAGCCAGTTTCACAACACACTAGGACTTCAGCTTTCCTTCTGGAGCCCCAAGCAGGGAAAGCTCCGGATCCCAGTGGAGCCACACGACTCTCATCCCTCAGAGCCCGGGTGCTGCTTTGTGAGACTTTGACCTTTAAACAGAGCAGGATCCAACTGCCCTGTTTAGTGTACTCTCTCCAGGGCTCCATTTCTCTTCCTTCCCCTCTCCACCTTCTTCACAGCACAGAACCCTCGTGTCTGGGTCTGCAGACCTAGCCTCCATTGTCTTCCCAGAGGAAACTTGGGGGGAACGGCCTGGGGAAGAGGGACTTGAGCATTCTCCATTTCCTTCTGCGCCTGGGGAGTTGGTTAATGATCAACCAGTAATTGCCACTCCCGGGGAGACCAGGATCATGGTCCAGCCCTACACCGTGGCTCAGGGCAGAGGGCACTGGGTACACAGAAGAACCTGCTGCTGACCTTCCTACTTTATTTTTGGAGTTGGTGGCCGTCTGTGGTCATGTATCTTCCTCCTTGAGTCTGCTCTTGGGGGAAAATGAGGATGTCTGAAGTTTGCAAAGCAAAAAACCTGTAGGAAGCTGGGCTCCTTCCCACCATGCCTCCTTCTGCTTTCTAGCTGTTTCTGAGCTCCCAGAACACCAGAGAGAGGCGTTAGCTGATGTTCAAATGTGTCTACAGGATTTCCTCAGGGCTCGGGATACCTTGGAGGGCTTCATTCTGTGCCCACCAGCTTACCTGCTTTTGTCTTTTCCAGATTTTTACTTTTCACAAACAAGTAGGAGGCTAATGGGCTAGAAATTCAGCCTCCCTTCAGCCTTCATTAATTGAACAATAAGGTTGTTTAGGCAATATTGTCCCTGTGGGGACAGGGAGAGGCAGTGGCAGAATGCACAGTTAGTGAATGGACATTCCTGGTGCAGAGTAGGTGTGCAGAAGGAAGGAGGCCCAGGAACTGCAGAAATGGAAGGTGTAACACAGGGAAATGAGGGGGGCAGACAGAGGCTGTTGATGGTCCCTTTCTGCCACCTGAAGGAAGAGTTAGTTACCTGATCAAAGGCCATTAGGGGCATGGCCTGGGGCTGAATTCTGGTGCTATGAAAACACAGGTCTACAAGGTTACAGTCTTAACCAAAAGGACAGAGGTAACAAACAATTCATTGTGATTTTCAAAATGTGTGTGGTAGAGTATTATGGGTCACAACTCCTACCATGGCTAATGCCTAACATTTATTGTTCATCAGTTTTTTTAAAATTTGTTTCTTTTTGGTATTGGGGATTGAACTTAGAGACACTTTACCACTGAGCTGTATTCCCATCCCTTTATATTTTTTGAGACAGGATCTCACTAAGTTGCTTAGGGCCTCCTTAAGTCGCTGAGGCTGGTCTTGAAGTTGTGATCCTCCTGAGCCGTTGGGATTACAGGTGTGCCCGGCTCACCTAGTATCTTCTAAATGTTTACACATGGATTAATTTCTTTACTCCTGACACCAACTGTATGTATTGATATAATCCCTGTTCTGTAGATAAAGAAGCCGAGGCTCAGAGCCTGCCTGAGGTCACCCCAGGGGCGCTGGGATTCTGGAACAGCAGGTGGTCAGGCTTCGGGACCCTTTGCTCTTGCCTAAGTCATCCAGAGTCATCCAGAGTGAGCGGGAAGCTTGGCCATGTCCCTCCTGCATGCCTTCCTACCTGCTTGTCTGACCTGGGATACTCTTCTTTAAAGACTGGTCAAAGGGGTCTTTCCTGTGACACCTCGGACTCCCTCAGCCCATCTCTGGCACTCTCTGTCCTTGGAGCTTGCCTAGCACCTGTGGATAGAACAACTGCATGAGATTCTATTTACTGGGCTAGCTGATTCCTGTGGTAAGCTTTTAGAGAACAAGGACTTTTTAATTTTCTTGGAAATTCTCAAATAGTTATAAAAGTAGAGACAATGGTATGATGAACTTACACGTACTCATCGCCCAACTCCAACGATTATCCTTCCAGGCCAGTCTTGTTTCATCTATGCTCCGACTTTATGTCCTCCCTCCCCAAACATGGATTATTTTGTAAGAAATCCTAGACATCAAATTATTTTATCTATAAATATTTCAGTGATGCTCCTAAAACATAAGGGCTCTTTTAGAAACCACAACCATGCCAAGTGTGGTGCTCACCTGTAATCCCAGCTACTCAGGAGGCTGAGGCAGGAGAATCACCAGTTCGAGGTCAGCCTCAGCAATGTAGCAAGGCCCTAAGCAACTCAGTGAGACTCTATCTCAAAATAAAAAATAAAAAGAGCCTGGAAATATGGCTCAGTTTGTAAGTGCCCCTGTGTTCAATCCCTGGTACCAAACAAAACAAGACAAAAAACTAAAACATTATCCCATTGAAAAATAATATCAAGAAATATGTGACCAATGATCAAATTTCTGAGATTATTTTATACTTGTTCTTCCTTTCCTCTTTTTTTTCCTCTTTGTTCTTCAGTTACTTCCTTTCTTCTTCTCTTTCAAATAACAAGGTTGTTTGAATCAGGTTCGCTTTTCTCAATACCTAGTTTAGTGTTTGACATAGAGTGGTGAGTTCTTCACAGATGTTTGTTGAATGAATAAAACATCAGGAGTCTTTAAAAGATCCTGGCTGGGTTTTGTTTGGTTTCTTGGGATGCCTTTCAACCTCCGGTAACTTTCGTTTTTTAGGGGTTAACTTAAATGCCAGCTACCATCTGTGCCTGTGAACATTGCTGAAGGCTTGAGGTCTGCGGTGTGTCTGTGGCTGGGAGAAAAGGAGCCTTGCTTTCTTGTTTCTGCTTTCTGTCCTGGGTTCCTGTGATGGGCTGAATTGTATGCTTCCCAAAGTCTTAGGTCAGAACCCAGAATGTGGCTGCATTTGAAGATAAGGCCGTTAAAGGTGATGAGTAAAATCAGGCCATTAGGGTGGGCCCTAATCCTACCTACCAGGTATCCTCATAAGGAAAGGTGACACCAGTGATGTAAATGCACAGGGAAAGGACCCTGTGAGGACAGCCAGGCAGCCACCTGCAAGCCAAGGAGAAGGGCCTCAGCAGAAACCTGATAAGAAGTGTTGCTAAGATGACTGTAGATAATGACAACATTTTAAAAAACTAAAATAAAGGATTTTGAGTGTTTACAACCAAAAAGACAAATGTTGCCGGGTGCAGTGGCACACACCTCAGCTCAGGAGGCTGAGGCAGGAGGATCATCACTTCAAAGCCAGCTTCAGCTATTTATCAAGGACCTGAGCAACTCAGTGAGACCCTGTCTCTAAATAAAAAATAAATAAGGGCTGGGGATGTGGCTCAGTGTTTAAGTGCCCCTGCGTTCAATCCCTTGTACAAAAAAAAAAAAAAAAAAAAAAAGACAAATATTTGAGGAGAAGAATGTGTCACTGATTTAAACTTTACACAATGTATGCATGTATAATTTGGGCAATGTTTATGTATCAGTTAAAAAGACATTTAATTTAAATAAAAAAAAACATAAAAGAAACTAAATCTGTTGACACATTGATATCTTGGATCTCCAGAACTGTGAGAAATAAATTTTCATGGTTAGAGCTGGGGTTGTAGCTCAGTGGCTGAGTGCTTACCTAGCATGCAAGAGACCCTGAGATTGACCCCAGCACTGCACACACACACAAATTTCCGTTGTCTAAGTCGCCCAGTGTGCCGTACTCTGTTATGGCATCGAGAACAGACTAATCACAGTCTCTTGTCTCACTTTAAGTTGGACTGATCATGCTTGGCTTCTTTGGCCCCCTGCACAAGAGGGGTCCCTTCAGGGTCTCTCAGGGATCTCTCTGGGGAAGATCCTTAGGAGCAGGGACAGCTTCATGTGGTGATGTGGAACAAAGAATTCTAAGATGGCCCCCATCCTCTCCTGGAATGGAGAATATGATGAGTTATCACCTCCCATCCATGATGCTTACTTTGTGTGGCACTCAGGATTTAAAAAAAAAATTTTTTTGGTACCTTGGATTGAACCCAGGGGCGCTTAACCTCTGAGCCACATCCCCAGCTCTTTATTTTTATATTTTATTTAGAGACAGGGTCTTGCTGAGTTGCTTAGGGCCTCATTAAATTGCTTAGGTTGGCTTTCAAGTCACAATCCTCCTCCCTCAACCTCCCAAACTGCTGGGATGAAAGGTGTGCACCACCGTGCTCAGTTCTGGCAATCAGGATTTTGAAGATATAATTAAAGATACAAATCAGTTGATTTTGAGTTAATCAAGGAGATTATCTGAGTGGACCTAATCTAATCCCATGAATCTTTTAAAAGCAAAGAGTTTTCTCTGGCTGGTTTCAGAAAGAGAAATCATGGACTTTAGAAGTGTGAGTGGGAGACCCTCTGTTGCTGAAATGGGGCGGTCATGGGGCTGGGACCTTGGAACATCCTCTAGTTTCTGAGAGTGGTCCCTGTTATCAGTAGGTCAATGAAGACCTCAACCTGTGACTGCAAGGAGCTCAGCTCTGTGAACTAATAAACAAGTGTTGTTTTAAACTACTGAGTCCATGGTAATTTGTAAGGCAGCAATAGAATATGAATATTGGTGCTTTGTACTGATAGATTGAATTAGCCACATCTAATTTTACTTTTAAAAATTAAGGTAAGAATTAGCCTGGTGTGGTGGTGCAGACCTATAATTCCAGCACAGGAGGATTGAAAGTTCATAGCCAGCCTGAGCAATTTAGTGAGACCATAAGCAATTTAGCGAGACCATTTCAAAAAATGGGATTGTGGCTCAGTGGTTAAAATGCTCCTGGGTTAAATCCCCAGTACATGCACCCTTACCAAAAAAAAAAAAAAAATTGAGGCAAAAATTAGAATACATTGAAATGCATACAGACCTTAAGTATAAAAAAATTTTTTTTTTCATGATGCTGAGCTACACTCCTGAACTTTACAATTTGATTTTGGTAAATGTGTACACCCATGCACTCACACCTCAATTGCGATGTAGAACAATTCTGCCATCCCTGAATTCCTTTGAATGCCTTTACAATTAATTCCCCCCATCTTGAATGAATTCTTAGCACCATTAGTTAAAAGTGCCTATTCTTGGCAGGCATCATTTAACTGGTATATAATACATGCTCCTTTATGTCTGTTTGACTTTGCACAGCATGATAGTTGATTTAGTGAGATTTTGTCTCAAAAATAAAAAGGGCTGGGGATGTGGCTCAATGTGGTTAAATGCCCCTGGGTTCAATCCCAAGTACAACAAACAAACAAACAAACAAAATCTTGCTAAATTGCTTAGGGCCTTGCTAAATTCCTGAGCTAGCCTTGAACTTGCCATCCTCCTGCCTCAATCTCCTGACCTGCTGGGATTACAGGAGTGTGCCACCACACCTGGCTACAGCATGATATTTTAAAGATTCATCCTTTGTTTTGCTTTTTTTTTTTTTCCTTCTAAGACAGGATCTCACTATGTCACTCAGAACATCCTTGGACTCCTGGTCTCAAGCAATCCCAGGCATGCACCACTACTCCCAGCAAGATTCGTCCATTTCTTACAAGTTTGAACACTTTAGTTGCAGAAGAGTAGTAAATCCTGTCTTATTGGCACAACACAATTTGCTTATTATTCATTTGCTGATGGTCATTTGAATTATTTCCACCTTTCGGTCATTATGAAAAATGCTGTTGTGAACATTCATGTGTGGTTCTTCACGGCTATACATTGTCATTTCTCTCAGATAAATATGTAGGAGTGTTATCGCTGGGTTATAGAGTGTGTCAAAACTTTATAAGGACCATCAAGCCATTTCTCTGAGGGACTGTGCCATTGTGGATCTCCATCAGCAATCTATAAGCATTCTGGTTATTCCCCTCCTCATGACACTTGGGATTGTCAAGTCTTTTTTGGGGGGGAGTGGGGGTTAATAAAAACTTTATTGTTGTATTATGTTCTCCTTTCATTTTCAATATCCCACCCCACCTTTCTCTACTGTTACATTAGGACTAAATATTCCATGACTTGGCTACTAACCACTTATGGTGCTCAGTGACCAAACAGACACCTCTCTATAAAAATATCACTAAATTCATTCATAAATCTGTGTTACATTAAAACTTTTTCTCAGTTTTAATTACAATTATGTATCTTAAATCCAAAGAGGTGATTAAAGGTGCTCATGAATAATTTGATTACAAGGTTAATTATGTGAAAGTCAAGAACTTTCTGTTAAAAAACCTATTAGTTCATGGTTTAGCTATGAATTAAAAAAAAAAAAAAGAAAAGAAAAGAAATAGTCCCAAACTGTATGCTTTCCCTTCATGTCTGCCTTTCCTGGATGTTTTTCTTATCACCAGGTTTTCATATAACAGAAAAAGGAAACTTTGTGGTATCAGTTAGAAATTGTTCTATCCTATGAACTTTACAGCAAACTGGCCTTTCTGAATGGGCATGTCATTCAGACTGAAGTGACTAGAGCCAGGGACAATTCATCACTTCATTAGTATTCATCAACATCCACGTTGCAGGTGTGATGGGTCAGGTTTTAATCAACTACTTCTCCATTCAGCATTCTCTGAGATGTTTTCGGATTTTCTCACCATCTTAGCGTCTCTGTGTAACTGCCCGATATACCACTGAAAGTCAGCGCCATCATTACCACGGGAGATCGGTGCTTGCAATCAAACATTCTCAGAATGCCATGTTTTAACTTTTTTTCTGTACTAATCTTCTCCTGTTCATTAATTTGTACCTCATACAGCGCCGCCTGGGTTCAAAACAGCCCCTAGTTCCACACAGGGCCGGGGTTGCTCTTGTTGAAATGTTCTACTGACCAGACATCAACCCAGCTGTCTTGATGCAAAAGAAGCAGGATCACCCATCTTTAAAAGTTTAGCCATCACCAGCAATTTCTTCCTGTGTTTCTCTCTGCACCTTGCAGAATAGATTATTCATCTCATGCCCAGCACGTCCAATGTTCTTCCAATTCCTTTTTCATCTTTTCAATCCTACCCATGGCCCAGGTCACTGTTTTCTAATAAGGAATGTACAGGAGAATCACTTGGGAGTTTTTAAAAATACACAAGCCCGGGCATACTGTACCTGCTTCTCCAGGGATGGAGAGGGTTCTGTATGTTGAAAAAATTCCCTGGGTAACTCTATATAACCTTATCTAAAACCCATCAGTGTAGACCCAGCTCCTATCTATGACAGCAGGGGTTCTCCATCCTGGCCATGCATCAGTAGCATGCAGAAGGTTTAAAAATTACCAATGCCTAGGTCCCACTCCTAAATCTGTGTGGTGTCTGAGCATCAGTATTCCTTTAACAAACTTTCCAGTGATTTCAGTGTGGAGCCGTATTTTCCATTGGATGTCTGTCTTCCTGAGGCATGTATCCCTTTCATTTTTATATTAATATTATTTTTTTCCATCTCTATTTTACTTTTTTAAACAATTTTTTTTAGTTGTAGTTGGACACAATTCCTTTATTTTATTTATTTATTTTTTATGCGGTGCTGAGGATTGAACCCAGTGTCTCGCATATGCTAAGCAAGCGCTCTACCACTGAGCCACAACCCCACCCCCCATGTCTATTTTCTGTTTTAGGCTTTATGTTCCTGGGAGCAGGGACACCGACTTCTTCATTTCTGTATCTCTCATCATCACATAAATTGGTCATTAGGAAAAGATCCTCAATCACATGTAGCAGTGTCCTTTGCCTTAGATTCACACATTTATGCTGCAATCTTTGTCCTCCATGAGGTTAGAGGTTGCTTGTGATGAAGGGTGAGGGTAACTGCAGGGCAGATAATGGAGAGATCACCCTGTTTGGAATGCATTTTTAGGCAGAACATTGGGACTAAGAATTAGCATACATTGGCTAGATGGGCAAGGATGTGTAGAGACACGCATCTAATTAGAATGGAGGAATTATGCTGGGGAAAGGCCATGAAGAAAGATTGGTAAGAGAAAAATATTGAACTGATCTAATGGTACTGGAGACCAAACCCAGTGCCTTGAGCATACTAGGCAAGCACAGCACCACTGAGCTACATCCAACAGTCCTTTTTACTTTGAGATAGGGTCTGGCTAAGTTGCTGAGGCTGGCCTCAAACTTGTGATTCTTCTGCCTCAACCTCCCGGCTCCCTGGGATAACAGGCAATCACACCTGCCCTGCTGTAGATTCTTGAGGAGGAGAATGAACGACTTTTTAGAAAGGTAATGAGGCAGTAATATGCAAGGAAGATTTCAGGAAATAAGTCAAGCAGTACTTGGCGCAGTTGTTGAAGTGTCAGGTCAGTTGGGTTTATGGGAATGGAGAGAACCACATGACTGAAAGATGTTAAAAAGAATTAACAGGCGGGCTGGGGATATGGCTTAAGTGGTAACGTGCTTGCCTGGTATACAAGGGTTCGATCCTCAGCACCACATATAAATAAAGATATTGTGTCTGCCAAAAAAAAAACCACTAAAAAATAAATATTAAAAAATTCTCTCTCTCTCTCTCTCTTAAACAAACAAACAAACCAAATTAATAGGCCTGGCATGATGGTGCAAGCCTGTAATCCCAGGTGCTTGGGAGGCCGAGATTAGGAGGAGAGCAAATTGGAGGCCATCTGCAGCAGCTTAGTGAGACCCCGTCTTAAAATAAAAAATAAAAAGGGCTGGGGATGTGGCTCAGGGAGAAAGTATCCCTGGGTTCAATCCCTTGTACAGCCTCCCCCAAAACAAAACAAAACAACAGACTTTGACGATGTATTGAGTCTGGGAAATGACAGAGCAGGGAACTTTGGTGGTATCACTGACAGAGATCAGTGTGTTGAGGAGGACAGCCAGTCTCAACAAAGACTAGTTCAGAAGATATTTGGATGTGAGTGCCGTCAGTTCTGGGAAGCAGGGGCCAGAGACATAAATGCAGGAGCCATTGCCCAGAGCTCTTTGCAGCTGAGGAGAGGTTGCATGGAGGCAAACATAAAGGTCGGAGGACTAATTCTAGTGTGGAGGAGGGGTGCCACAGAGGTGGGGGATGGAAGAATGCCCCAGAAGAAAAAAGGTCATCGGTGGTGTTAGAGGATATAAAAATGAAATGTGAGGACAGTGAGAATTCCTTTGAATTTGGCCAGGAGGTGGATACTGATTTTGTGTTGCCTCCAGCAGTCTGGGGGATGGAGAAATGGGATGGGGGAAGAGAAAGAGCATGCACCTTTCAGCTGATCACAAGTGACGGGAATGAGAGAATAAGTTAATACCTAGTGGAGTCAATAAATGAAAGTTATCGAGGTTGGCTCTGTAAGAAGGCAGAAGAAAAGCACTGGCAACGAAGAGATGGAAGATGCTGGAGAGATTTCTATATGACCGAGTTTGGGGAGCGCCTCGTGAGTGACAGTTGTATTCCATCCCTGATTCACTGGAGATGCCTAGATGGTGAGTGTCACTTGCCCCTAAGGAAGAGGCCGGGAGATCTGTTACTCCTGATGGCATTTCCTCTCCCAGAGGAAGATCCACATTCCTTCCAGGCAGGTTAGAACGTGACCTGTGGCTCCCAAATGTGCTCACTTTGTTAGCAAATATGCAAATGAATTTAGCTAATTCTGATCGCTGCATCAGATACCCGTTGACTTAAAAATAGGTGTACCCACGGGCAATCTTTTCTGTCTGCAAACTTGCGTTGTCTAAAGTAGTACCAACCACAAGACAGCATATGAAAGTCTGATACATGATTTTTTTATTATAAATATAGAGCAAATTTTACAAATAATTCAGAAGTGGCCTTAGTCTGGCAAAATTAAATAACCCAGCACAGGATGGATGAGGGAAACTATATACAGTCTCTGTCAGGGCTGGAAATCCCTGAAGAGGTACCTGAGTAGGAGAATTCCCAGTGAATTCTCTTGGAGGAGGCCTGTTAGGCAGAGCAGGAGATCAAGCAGCAAATATCAAATACAACCTTTCCCTTCATATCCCCAAAGAGAGTCCATCTGTGTAGCAGAAGACTGCATGAGAAGCACATTTGCCTTTCCTTTTCCTGTCTTTCATTTTTATCTTAAGACACATGGGGACTCATTGACCCTATGTGAGAAAAGATAAGTTTCAGAGCAGAAAATCCAGGGCCAGCTTATCCCCCACTATGGCCTAACCCCCTCTCACAGCCCTTATGTCCCAAGGGCACTAGCACCAGTGCAGCTTTCTGGGTCATGAACCACGCCATTGGTATGAGCAGTGGTGTTCCCTTTAGAGGCTCCCATTTTTTAAGGACCAAACACACCCTAAGGGACGCCAGCAGACAGGGACAGAACACACGGGCAGAAACATGGAGAAGGAGCTGGTGACTTGTCCATTCCTGGCACGAATGAGGAAAGCCTCTTCTTGTTTTCTATTTGGAGCTCTTGTCAAAAAAGCCACAGAGGCTTCTGGCCAAGGGCTGTTGACATTTTGGTGGCTTCTTTAACCTCAGGCGGTCTGATCAGCCTACACAGCTAAGCCCAGTAAGAATAATTCCATTCACATAAGTAAGCAGTTACAAAGATTAAAATGGTAGAAAGTATCAGAAAAGGAGGAAAAAAACCTCCCAATACCCCCCAATTACACATTCTTTAACAATAATTTAAATAATTTATGAAGAGTAGCTCTCTACTCCTTTTCCAAGTTCTCAGCAGGTTGTCTATGAAAAGCTTTCTTTCCCCCCTGCAAAAGCTATAATCTCTTCTTTTCTGGGCACTTCCTTGAATAACACCCATCCAGATATTAAAGGCATAGGTGTGATTTTTGCATTTTTTTTTTTTTTTTTTAGGAATCACCTATGGACCTTGGCAGATATTTTTCCAGTTGTTTCTGGTGGGTTCTCTGGAAACATTTCTGCCAAAGGGCTTAGGTGGTATTCTAGCTAAGCAGCAAGGTGCTCAGACCCTGGTCCTGTAGGTAAGCGACCCTGACAGTGGACAAAGTTATAGAATTTCCCAGGTCACTACTGGTTATATATTAGATTTTCCTGTGGATGGTGGGTTTTGGAGAGAATGGAAAAGCCACTACTACTGCTTTTACTTTCTCTCTCTCTTTTTTTCAGGCGTAAGTAATTAAGTGGAAAAGGACATAACTCTCAAGGTTATGGAAAATTCATGTTAGAATCTGATAGCTCAGGACTGGGTTGGGAAGGAATTGGTACACTCTGGATAAGTAAATTTAAAACAAGTCTAGGTCAGGAAGCCCGGAGGGACAGGAAGGTCCTTCAATTCTCTCCCAAAGTCTACTTTGCCAAATTTCAACAAGAAGGAAGATTGGTGTGCCCGAACACTCCCGGATGTTCTTTCCATTTGTTGACACAGAAGGGAGGTGTGTAATGGGGTGGGGAGGGACTTCTTCCCCCCTCCCCCACAAGAGATCTCCTAGTGAGGGTGCTGAGACTTGGAGCACATCACCAGTGCAGCGAGCAGAACAGGTTGCATTACTTCTTTTTCAATTCAGAGTAAACAGTTTCTGTGGCTGTCGGGGACAGGGAGGTGGGTGAAGTTGGTTGTGTTGGTTCCTGGATGTTGAAGTTCAGAGAAGAATAAGCAACATCATCCCCCTGGAAAGTAGAAACAGCAATCAGCTCAGTGTCACAGGTCAGAGTGTCACCCTGGCTGATGGGACTCAACCGCACTGCGTGGCCACCTCTTCTGGACATTTAGCTTTGGCAGGGGACTTTGGTTACTGGTTTTCTGCTTGCCAGCATCCTCATGAATAATGGTTAGAAGAGGCGGATGACCGTGTTGATACAATGGAATACCATACCCCGGCAGTGAGAATGTGGCTCAGTGGTAGAGCACTTGCCTGGCATGCTGAGGCCCTGGGTTCGATTCCCAGCATTGCAAAAAAAAAAAAAAATTAAAAATAATAATAAACCACAAATATGTACAATTGTGGATGAATTGTCTCACAAGACAATGCTGAATGAAACCAGATGCATAAGGGATATGCTGCACCCTGATTTCCAGTGCTCTCAATCTGGGCAGAGGTCTATCTTGTAGGGAAATGACTAGAAGGATTCTTCTTGGGGGCAAGGAGATGGCCACAGAGTGTCTAGATTCGGGTACTGCAGACATGGGTGTGTTCCCCTTGTGAAAGATCACGTGTGGTAAAAATCACTTATGACTTCAGTACTTTTCAGTATTCGTGTGCACTCAATTGAAAGGTTAAGATGAGAAAAATTCTGTAAAAATGATTATAAAATAAAGGAGCCAGACCTCAGATCCATTAGAATGGAAACTCCCCTTTGCTAGTAAGAGCAGGACCTGTTTGAAGTAGGCATGGGAGAAGGATGGGTGCCTTCCTTGTGCTGGGAAGTGTATGAGGTATTTTATGTACTTAACTCCTTAATCCTTTTAGCTTATTGAAGTGGGCAGAATGCCCATTTTACTGGTGAGAAAACTGAAGATTAAAGAGGTTAAGTAACCTGTCAAGGGTGCACAGAGCTGAGAGTTGCCACCAGGGTTTAAACACAGGATGGGGACAACTGCAAAGGACATATTCTCACCTTGGGGTGGACTCTTGACTAACCAATATTTCTTTGTTGTTGCATTGAAGAACTTAGACCCAGACTTGGTCTCACATTTTGTCCCCAAGAATACTCCGTTCTCTCCAGGGGAACATGAGCCAGCAAACGGACTGTGCTTACCTTGTCAGGAGAGTGGTCAGAGGGGCCCGGACCTGAGGAAACAAAAGAGGAGTTACCAACCAAGGGAACGCGGAGCTGATGAAGGCCTTGCGCTTCTACCTGAAGGAGGTGGCAGGCCGTGGTGGTTGGGGGTGGGGAGCTGAGGGAGGTGGCCCACCATCCATTAAGGAATCTGCTTCCCTTGGGGTCTGTGGTTCAGACCCAGCACACTAGTACCAGAGGAAGACGGGGGGAGCCAAGGAGGCCTCTGTCCACCCCGTCTACCAGCTCTCAAGGCTTGATTTTTCGCACAGATGTGTTTCTCAGTAACATGCTCCCGTGGCAAGGAGGGACGTTGAGACCCGCAGCACCCAGCACACTCACAAGACAAGGAAAGTCTCACCAAGGGAGAATAAATGCCCACATCCCTAGTAGAGCAGGAAGGGAAGGAGGGAGGGAGGAGGGAATGGCTCCTGGAACTGTGGTTGACTCAGGCCTGTCTAACCTGTCTCAGGGGCCAAGTCTCAAGACACTGTTGTGGCTGGGAAGGGTGTGAGAACCTATGCCAATTTCGGGTTGGGCAGTGGAGACCTCCTCTGTCAGAATTCAGAAGGGAGGGAGTGGCCTGTGACTGTGGCATTTCCTGCAGGGCACACATGAAGCAGACGGTTCTCACTGGGCAAGTGGCTTTACTTACTGTGGTTGGAGGCTGAGGGTATGTGCTCTGTGAGATCGTGCTGGTCGCTTGCCCTAAACAAATATCAGACACTGTGACTGCTATTCCCAAGCACAGGACCTTTGCTCCCTGAGTTAGGAAGGACACGGTTAGCAGAAAATTCTTTGGCGATCCTTGATGTCCATTCACACTGGGTTGGTCCTGCTGACCCTTTGAGGACCTCAGTCTTCAACATAACCACTATTCCTTTGGTGCTTACTCCTTTCCTGTTTGCTGGATGTTCACACTTTGGTCTATTTTTTTTTTCTCTTCTTTTTCTGGTGCTGGAGACCAAACCCAGTACAAACTACCACTGAGCTACATCTCCTGCTGCACAGTTCTATTCTTTTCTTTCTTTCTTTTTGGTACCAGGGATTGAATCCAGGGGCACTTAACCACTGAGACATATACCCAGCCCTTTCTATTTTTTATTTTGAGACAGGTTGCTTAAAGCCTTCCTTTAAGTTGCTGAGGCTGGCTTCGAACCCATGATCCTCGATTCTGGCTTATCGCACCCCCCCCCCCACTTTATTTATTGTCCAAGAGGATTTTGGTTCTTCCCACTTTCTCTTAGATTCTCCTCCTGTCCTGTCCTTCCCATCTCCAGCTGCTGTGGCGGACAGAGCATGTAATTTGCTTTCTCCTAATAATACTCCTTTCATTTCTTCCTGTGTTTTCCTTCTTGGACCTTGGCTTCCTGATGGGGGATGACAGGGGAACATAATCAGATCTGTTCCTCCAAACTGGATGGGGATGGGGATAACCATGTCCAAGAGGGAGGGCAGGGAGCAGGAAGGCAGGGAGAGCCACCACCCACAGGAATGAGTGCCGAGAAGGAGGAGTTCAGGAAAGGGAAGGAGATCCAGTCCCAGAGATGGAGGTAAGGTAAAGAAGTCTTCCCCTCTCCCAAGCGTGGCAGTTGGCCTTGGAGAACATGGAAGAGGAGGAAAGGCACCATACCCGCCAGTCTTCCTGAAAAACAGGAAATACCCCAGGCCTGCTATCAGCCCCACTCCAGCCAAGACTCCAATCACGATGCCGGCAATGGCCCCAGGTGAGAGTGGTTGGTTGATGTTGTCATCTCCGCCTGGGCCAGCTGTTAAGAAAAGAGAAGAAGAAATGAAGGTGAAGTGATTTTACTGAGGGAGTGCTTTGGGGAACGCCTTGCACCAAGTAGTCTCTGTTCCTCGAGGGATGCGTTTCTGTGGAAGGTGCTGGGGGGTGATCAGCATACTACATCCTCACGATCCTTCCTCCACTCCCTGTTTCTGGTTGGTGATCGGTCTCCTTTCAATTCCATGCTGCCCTGTTGGCAGTCATTTGAAGGCGTTGGAAACCTGGGAAAGGCAGTTGCTATTTTTGTACGACTGCCAACCCTTTCAGGGTTGCATTTTCCCTTGGCCTCGCAATTGTGGGAGCCACGATTATGTGCCTCTCAGGTCTCCGTAATGGACAGAAAGCCCAGATGGGAGCACTCCGAATCCACCTCCATGTGTGCAGGAGTCCCCGCTTCCCACGGCCCCCTGTAGAGTTGGAAAGGAAGCCCAATTTTGCAAGATGAGGTTTTCCTCTGATGGGTGAGTCTTGAGAACTCCCCACTGGCCTCTTTAGAACCCCACTGCCTCCCAACACTTCCTCCTCCTCCCAGCCTTCTCCCGGGGATCAGCTCTGCCCTGTGGTCTGAGGCCTTTCTCAGGCTCCTCCCCATCTTGTTCCACTTTCCTAACCCTAACCCTAACCCTAACCCTAACCCTAACCCCCTCCTGGCTGCATCTCAGGAGATGAAAACCAACACCAGGCTCAAAAGTCTGCACTTAACTTCCTTCTTATCCTTCCCATGTTTGGACAGTAACCAAGTCCCGGTGGTTTTGTTTTTTGTGTAACACGGCCCCCCCCCCCATATATAATACTTTTTGCATCTGTTTCTTTATTTCTGCAGCAACTATTTTAGGTATAGCCTTCACCAGTTAACTCAAGGCTGATGGCTAACGCTACTGTTGTCTACCGGTATTTACCTGTGCTAAATACTTGGTATGTATCTCATTTGATCTACACTATAAGCTTGTCAAATAGCTGGGCATAGTGGCGCAAGCCTGTAAACCCAGTGATTGGGACCCAATCACGGCAGGAGGATCTCAAATTGGAGGCCAGCCTTACAACCTAGTAAGACCCTGTCTAAAAAAAATTAAAAACAATGCAACAATAACAACAACAACAACAACAACAACAGACCAGTGACCTGTCAGATAGACATTATTTCCATTTTATGAATGAAAAAACTGAGACTCAAAGTGGTGAAAAGGCTTACTTAAATTCATGTGGCTAATAAGAGGTGGATCTGGCTACCTGACCTTGAGGCTAAGGGTGATAGTAGTAATAGAAGCTAACATTTATGGAACATTTCTTCTCTGTGTGGCATTTTGCTGAAAGGTAAACTGATTATTATATTCAATCTTTAAATTGAATACCATGAAGCAAGTACTTTTTTGCAGTTTTCAGTTGAGGAATCCATGGCTCAAGGAAGTTAAGAATCTTGTGCAAGAAGAATATAGGTACAAATTCTTGCATTAGAAAAAGATCTCAAATCAACAATCTAGCTTTATAACTTGGATGTAGAAAAGAAAAGGAACAAATTAAATCCAAACCTAGTACCATGAGGAAAGCACAGATTAAAGATAAATAAATTAAAGACTAAAAAAAAAAGGTAGAGAAAATCAGTGAAATCAAAAGTTCTTCAAAAAAGATGAACAGAATTGACAACTTTTAACCAGATTAAGGAAAAAAAAGAGAGAGAGAGGATTCAAGTTACTAAAACTAGGAGTGAAATCAGAGACATTATTATTTCTTCTTTAGAATAAGAGTACTTGATAATCCATACTAATTTTAGGGTAGATTTTTCAGTTCAATTGATGGTGTGCCATCAATTGGATAATCTAGATGAAATGCAAATTCCTACAAACACAGGATCATGAAAAAAGAGAATATCTGAACAGATTTCTAACTAGTAAGGAGACTGAATCAGTAAGGGCACTAGCCAACTGTGTTGGTGCCCATTGGTAAGCCCAGCTATTTCAGAGGCTGAGGCAGGAGGATTTTAATTTCAAAGCCAGCCTGGGCAACTAGGAAGACTCTGTTTCAAAGATAAAAACAAACAAAGAAATCCAAAACTTTTAAAAGGTACTGATGAAATTTAACATCTCTTAATACTAAAAATCACTCAAACTGGGACTAGAAGAAAACCACCTCAGTATAGTAAAGGCTGTATATGGAAAGCCCAAGCTGGCATTGTCCTCCATGGAAAAAGGCTAAAAGCTTTCCCTCTATATCAGGAAAAATACAAGGATGCTTGCTTTTACCAGTTCTATTCAACTTAGTATTAGAAGTCTTATCCAGAGCAATTAGGAGAAAGAAAGAAAGAAAGAAAGAAAGAAAGAAGGAAGGAAGGAAGGAAGGAAGGAAGGAAGGAAAGAAAAGACATCTTAGAAAGAAGTAAAATTTCTGTTTGCAAATGACAGTAACTTATATGTAGAAAATCCTAAAGATTCCACAAACCGTTAAGACTAATAAGCAAATTCAGCATAGTTGCAGGCTAATGAAATCAATATGCAATGTAACAACCGGGTATTTTTACATACTAATGATCCCAAAGGAAATTTTAAAAAAATCCATTTATAAGAGCATCAAAAAGAATGAAATATGTAGAAATAAACTTCACCAAGGTGGTCAAAGATTTTTACCCAGAAAACTACAAAACATTGCTGGGGAGAAAAAAAAGATTAAAGAAGACATAAATAAATGGAAAGACATCCTATGTTCATGATTTGGAAGACAATATTGTTAAGATGACCATACTACCTAAAGTGATCTATACCGTCAATACGAGTCTGCCAAAGTCCCACGGACATTTTTTTGCAGAAATAGAAAAATCTATCCTAAAAATTCATATGGATTATCAAGGGACCCCAAATAGCCCAAACTTGCAAGACTCAATATTTAGTACGATACTACAGTAACCAAAAAAGTATGCTATTGGTATAAAGAAAGACATATAGATTAATACAATTTTTTATGTGTTGGGAACATTTGAAATCATCTTTGCTAGATATTTTGAAATTTAGAATTAATTGTAGTCAAACACAGACATCCTACTGTGCTATAGAACATTAGAAGTTATTCCTTCCATCTAACTACACTCCTGTGGCCAGATGATTTTGATGAGGGTGCTAATACTGTCCAATGGGGAAAAGGATCTTTTCAATAAATGATGTTGAGAAGATGGATACCTATACAAAAGAATGAATCTGAAGGGTTGGGGTTGTGGCTAAGTTGTAGAGCGCTTGCCTAGCATGCACTGGGTTCCATCCCCAGCACCACATAAATAAAACTAAAAAACAAGCATTTATTAAAACAAAGAAATATATTTTTTAAAAAAAGAATGAATCTGAGTCTGTGTCTAATATCATCTTCAAAAATTAACTCCTAATGGATCAAAGATCTAAATGTAAGAGCTAAAGTTATAAAAATCTTAGAAGAAAATGTAATATGAATGCTTCATAACGTTGGCTTTGACAGTGTTTTCTTAGCTATGACAACAAAAGTATTCATAATAACAAAAACCAGATAAATTGGACCTCATGAGAGCTGAAACATTCTATGCATCCAAGGACATTATCAACCACATAATCCAGCAATTCCACTCCCCAATATAGGCATAGAAGGAGTTGAAATAGTCTGTCAGAGAGAGAAGTAAACCCCCACGTTCATGCAGCATTGCCAATAGCCAAGTGTCCGTCAATGGATGAACAGATAAAGAAAAGGTGGCATATGTTCACAGTGGAATGCTGGCCAGCCTTTCAAAAAAAGGGCGTTCTATCACTGTGACAACACAGGAAGTGAAATAAACTGGGAACAGGAAGCGGGACCCTGCAGGATCTCACCTGTATGTGGAATCTACAAATGTTGAATTTCTAGAAGAAGAAAGCAGAATGGGGGTTACCAGAGACTGGGTGGTCAAGGAGGTCAGAGGGTTTGAAGTTTCAGACAGACAAGAGGAATATGTTTTGAGGAATATGCACAGCAGGATGGGAAAGTTCTGGAAACGGACAGTGGTGATGGCTGCACAGAACCTGGTTAATGCTGCTGAATCGTACGCTTCAAGGGGGCCAAGATGACAAATCTTAGGTTGTGTGTATTTTACCACACACCAAAAAAAAAAAAAAAAAGTGAACAGAAAAGAATCTTGAACCAGGTACATGGTGCACACCTATAGTTTTGATACTTGAGAGGCTGAGGCAGGAGGATTGCAAGTTGAGGTCAGCATGGGCAACGTAGCCAGAACTTGTCTCAAAATAAAATAAAAAGGGATGGGGATTTAACTTGGTGGTAGAGCACTTGCCTAGCCTGAGTCCAACCCTCAGTACTGTCCAAAAAAAAAAAAAAAAAAAAAAAAGAATAAAAGAAAAGAATCTGGTGCGAGGTCATAGAGTAAATGCCAGACTCAAGATAAGAAGCTCAGAGCAGCTGGCCCTCTGCATCCATGGACTTGACACCAGTGGATTCAATCAACTGCAGAAGGAAAACAGTCCGACAAAAATTGGGTTCTCAATGAAAATGTACAGAGGTTTTTTCTGTTATTATTCCTTAAATGATACCATATAACAACGATTTATACAACATTTACATTGTAGGAGATATTAAAAAAATCTAGAGATGATTTAAGGTGTATGGAAGTTACTGGGCATGGTGGTACATGCTTGGAATCCCAGCTACTTGGGAGGCTGAAGCAGGAGGATCAAAAGTTTGAGGCCATCCTGGGCAATTTAGTGAGAGTCTGACTCAAAAATAAAAGGGCTGTGGATAAAAATAACAGCTCAGCTGTAGTGCACTTGCCTAGTATGTGTGAAGCCCTGGGTTCTATCCCCAGCACTGAAAAGTAAAATAAAAATAAAAAGGGCTTGGATATAGTTCAGTGGTAGAGCTCTTGCCTAGTAAGCATAAGGCCCTGGGTTCCATTCCTAGTACTTCAAAATAAAGTATAGGGAATAGGGAGAATGTTGGTTATACACAAACACTATGCCATTCTTATTTATTTTTTTGTACTGGGGATTGAACTCAGGGCCACTTTACCACTGAGCTAAGTCCCCAGACCTTTTATTTTTATTTTTTTCTTTTGAGACAAGGTCTCACTAAGTTGCTTAGAGCCTCGCTAAGTTGCCAAGACTGGCCTTGAACTTGTGATCCTCCTGCGGCAGCTTCCCAAGCTGCTGTGAAGTATGCCATTCTTTATAAGGCTCTAGAGCATCCTTTGGTATATGCAGGACTTCTAGAAGGAGTTCCTCACGAATGCAGAAGTTGACTACACATTTCACTGACAGTCTAAACTCCAAACCACTTTGCAATTCTGCTTACTTCTTTAGTGTCTTAATTGATATTCTTTCCCCTGTGACTTTTATTCATTTTGTATACCATTGATAAAGAAATCCCCTCAGTAAGATGTAGGAGGGGCAGAGGGTCACTCACCACCGATCACAGTCAGCATGATGGGGTTGCTCTTTAGGGAAGAGATTGGGTTGGAGACTTGACAATGATACTCTCCCTCATCCTTCTTCTGGACTGGGTTTATGGTCAGGATGCTGTTGTTTGACGACAGCTGCATCCTGTCTGTGAATTGCAGGGTCTTGTTATTGAAGAGCCACTGGATGGAGATTTCAGTGTCATTTGGGACGCAGGTCAGCTCCACAGACTCCCCTTCTGCCACCGTGGTGTTGCTAGCTGTGAGGTGGGGCAGTGTCAATGGTTCTGTGGACAAAAAGAAGGGGACAACTGAGGTGGTCCTTTCTCGGAGACCTTAGCCAGTGGCTCAGGGCCCACAGTGAGTTGTGTAAGGTGGCCCAGAAGATGGCCCTGATCCTCTGCAGAGTTTGGGTGTCATCATTCAGATAACAATGTAAAGGAAGTGCTGCCTCTCCTTCCGACCTCAGATCACCCAGGTGACCCCTGAGGGTCCCTGGACATCTCTATAGGATCTGTCCAGCAAGCTCATCCTCAGGTGGAATAATTTTTCCATTCACTCTTGTGCAACCTCTTTCTAGTACTTTCTGTGCCTCTAGAAGGTCAGGCTCTCAGATAGGAAGTAGCTTTACATTCAGAGGCAAAGTGTATAGTTTTCATTAAATAATTTGTCAGGGAATTAAGATGGTCCAGCCCGTCTTCATGACCTTAGTGTCTGGAGAAATTCCAATCTACAGGATTTGTCAGTTTGAAGAAGAATTTTATTTCCTGGCCTGTGGATTAAATATCACAGTGAAAGAAACCTGTGGGGATGAAGGTCACAGTGTTGACAAACCCCGGCACGCTTGTCCTCTCTGCAAACACATGCTCTCGGCACCGCCCTGCCCGGCCTCGCAGGGACTCTGCAGGTGAGGCTCCCGTCCCTCCAGGTGTGCATCTCTGCTATTCTCTGTGGTTCATGACATGGGCTTGTGTTCCCAACCCTATGCACCTGGGGACTTCAGAGCCAGGACACAACTCAGAAGCATCTGCCCCCAGGCTGGCTCTTTCCCTCCCCTGCTCCTGACTTGGGAGGCACCAACTGACCACACGATTGATCCAGATTCCATAAGGGCCTCCCAGGCCTCTTTCCCACCCACCCATCCCTCCCACCCCAAATGGAGTCGGAGCAGGATAGGAGCAGAGCTGCTCATCCCCCATCTGAGGGGGCTTTGCTCCTGTCATTTGGGGAAAAAGAGGAGGAACGTATTGCAAAGCCATGCAGGTTCCTTGATGCTCACGGAGGAGGTAACAGAAAGCAGAGAGGTGACAGAAAGGGACAAGTTAGTGATGGAAAGCAGTCACTTGACTTCAAGGACCCTCCCCCTCTCTGGGAAGCTCCTTCTACTACCTAAGACTTTCTGGGTCTGCGAGAAGCCCCTCCCCACATTCCAGGCTGGACCCTAGATTGGTCATGAGAAGTCAGAGCAAGAGGAGAGTCTCTGGGATGGAGCAGGAGGCTCAGGAGAGGACAGGACTTGCTTGTGCCAGGCTAGGAAGTAACTTCTTCCATGATGTTTCCAGAAAAATCAAGGCTCTACCCAATACTTGATACTGTGCTCCAGGGTCCACTTACCAGAGACGGTAATATTCTTGGTTGTGGTCCTATTGAGGTTAGTGACAGGGTTATGGGCGACACACACATAGGATCCGCTATTATTTGTAGAGAGGTTGAGGATTGAGAGCTCTTGTGTGGATTCCAGGGGCCTCCCATTGAAAAACCAAGAGTACTGAGCAGGTGGGTTAGAGTCTGCGTGGCAGGAGAGGTTGAGATTTGTCCCTGAATGGAAATGTGAGTCTGGGGGGTTTATGATGGGGGCATCCGGGCCATCTGGAGCAAACAGAATAAAGCCACATGTAATGTCATCAGAGGGAAGGGGAAGTTCCTAGACTATAGAAGGCCACAATATAACTACTGATCCATGTCACAACTTTTTTTTTTTTTTTTTAATGTCACAACTAGGCTAGGGAGTACAGTGGTACAGCACCTGCCAAGCATACATGAGGCCCTGGGTTCAAATCCCAGCACCATACACACTCACAGAAAGTCTCAACCAAACCCCCTTTGTTCACTGAAATTAATCTGTGACATTCCCCTGCTTCTCTGTCCCAGGTGGCTGACCCCAGGCCTCTCTAGGGAACCACAAGCCCTCCCCTCCTATTCATGGCCCAAGGCTTGGCCTGCCTGGATGTGCCTGGGGCAAATGGCACAGCCAGTCCAGGTGCCCAGGAGAGAGGGTCTGTGTACTTGGACCCGAGAGGGACTAAGTGGCTCAGCCTCTGGCCCTGTGTATTTGAGTTCACAGCCAGGGTAATGGAGGAATAGAAGTTACTCACAGGAAATATTCAGGGTGAGTGGGTCACTGCGGTTGGCACTCACTGGGTTCTGGGTTTCACACTCATAGGGTCCTGTGTCATTCCTTGTGACATTGAATAAAGTGAGAGTCCTGTTGTTGTTGGACAGCTTCAGCCTGTCACCATCTAGGATCGTCTGATTGTTTATCTTCCACAGGTAGGTTGCATAATTAATCTCAGGTTCACACGTTAATGCTAGAGATTCCTCACCCTCCATGGGTTGGGAGTTGTTGATTGTGATGTTGGGTTTGGGTAATATTTCTGTGCAGACAACAAAGAGAGGATTGCCCTGTGGTACCTGTGATCCCCACAAATGTGTCTTTCCACCTGAGCTGGCCTCTCACCTCCCACCAACCTCAGTCCTGAAGAACCAGGCAGAGTGGGTATCCTGGGCAGATGCAGGAGGACCTGAGGGATCAGAGGTCGTGGGGCCCCCTGGGCTGTGTCTGGGAGAAGCACAGAGTTCCTCACAGGTGCACTTAATTGCAGAGTTTGGTCCTGGACAGACCCAGGACTGGGAGTTAGAAACCCCGTGTCTCTGCTGGTCCTTGCTGGCCCTGGCTGGCCTTGAGATGCAGAGTCCCTCCAGCTGCAGGGACTCCAGGGCTTGGCCCACGTGGGTGTCCTCTGAGCCTTTGGTTCTCAAGGCCATCCTAGAGGTGGGTCATGATGGGACACCCCATTGTGCTTAAACCCCATGAAGACCCCACAGCCTGATGTGAGAATGGGGTGTGTGAACAGAAATCCCACACTAGGAGACCAGGGGGCATTCAGTTGGGTGGTCAGGCTGGGGCCACAAGGGGGCAGTTCTGCTCAGGTGTTTCCTGGTGACTGACAGGAGCCAGTGACACCTGAAAGACAAAGCATGAGTCCAAAGAATGCTCTAGGGTGAGGGGGACAGACAAGGTTTAGAGCAGAATCATGTTCCTGTCCTTGGTCTTTACATCCTTCTCCCCCTGCAGAGAGCAGGTGAGCCATGTGGAATGGTCCTGAGAGACCAGTGGATGGTTCCAAACACATTAGCACTAAGAGGTGGAAGAGGGGACCAGGACCTTGCTGAAAATACGGCCCTCGTGGGCTTGTGTATGGCAGACCTGGGGTAGAAATGGGAGATGGTAAAGTTTTCCAATATGAGAAAATAGTTTTGATACCCGGGATCTAAGACTCCTTTCTGAAAGAAATATTTCTCTAAGGAGCACAGTGTCTTAGACTGAGCTCTGAAGTCCTGAGGGGGTCACATTATGACCCAAGGCAGATGGTAAAGTCAGTTTGAAACCAGCAACCTCCTGAGTAAGGAGAGACCTGTGGGTCCTGGTGGAGGACTGAACTGGTCAGAGGGGATGCCTGAGGGTCTCTGTTACGTAAAATGAGGCACAACACCAAACTCAGAGAAGTATTATTGATCATGTTAATCAATCTAGAAGTCTATGTTCCCAATTGCTATGGAGACTCAGGGAAAGTGGGGAAGAACCTGACACAGGCCTGTGGAATGCCTTCTTCCTTTTCTTTTCACCCCAGGAAGTGCAATGAGATCATCAAATTGTTCCATATCGGAGCCTAGAGCCTAATGTAAATGACCGTGGCTGGAGCATCACACCATGTGGGGACAGACCTTCCTTATGGTGATGGTGTCCTCATGGGGACACAGGCACATATGTAATAGACAGCCCCGGAGACAGCACCGTTCAGTCCAGCTCCCCCTTGGGGAAGGTCCTGGGAGTCACTGGAGGAGCGTGAGCCCCACTTAGGGACCAGGATGGAGCCACCAGTCATCTGGGTGTAAGGAGCCTGGGACCTAGGGGCTTGCAGCCCTGTCCTGCCTCTGCCCCCCTCGCTGAGTCAGTGCAGAGAGTAGATGGAGGAGATGCTCAGGCCTGTGTCCTGGCCTATTTCACATGTCATTGTCATGGAAGGAAAGAGCCCTGGAAGGGACACAGTGGAGGCTCCTTCACAGTCGGGGACATTGTCCCTGATGCAGCCTGACAGGGCCACCTGCCTCGACTGTTTTTGTGCCCTTTACTACGGCAAGGAGGGGGCCTGGCCCCAGGTGTTAGCAGGAAGTGGACAGAACAGATGGCCATTAGTGCAGGAGGGAAGGGCATGGCTCATTGTGCAGGGCAGGGCCAGTCCTGCCTGAATGAGAAGGAGGGAGAGGACGGACAGGCAGGAGCAAGACAGCCAGAATCGCCATGGCAGGGAGCAGTGGGGTACAGTGACTTAAAGCCCCAGGTCCAAGAGCCTCATGGCCACCTCAGAACTGACCCAGGGCCACCCTGAAGACCCTCCACAGCCCGGCCACCCCAAGGGCATCCTGTGATGTGGCTCCTGGGTGGCCTCAGGAGAGGTGGTTGTTGGGATGGAGCAAGAGCCTCAGCCTCCAGGAGGGACAGGGAGCAGGTGGCAGAACCCCCTGGGATTGCACATGCAGGTTCCAGGCTCTGAAGAGGTTCAGGGTCATTCATTCATGATCTTCCCTCCCTTGTCATAAAACCACTGAGAGTCGGCCACACACTGGGCCCTGTGCTGGCTGCAGGCTCTGGTGGGGCGTGAGAAAGAAAAGTCCTGTTCCTTATGCTCCAGAGGGCTGGGCTGGTGGCACACACCTGTAATCTCAGGGGCTCAGGAGGCTGAGATAGGAGGATTGTGAGTTCAAAGCCAGCCTCAGCAATGGTCAGGCTAAAGCAGCTCAGTGAGACCCTGTCTCCAAATAAAATACAAAACAGGGCTGGGATGTGGCTCAGTGGTCGAGTGCCCCTGAGTTCAGTCCCTGGTACCCCCATTCCCCTTACTCCCCCCAGAAAAGAAAAAAAGAAGCACCTTATGCTACAGAGGGAGTGACACCCAACACACCAGGAAAGAGGAGACTTCAAGTTCAGTGAGGGAGAGTGTGGACCAGCTGTGGGAGGGGGAGGCCTGGACATTCTTTTGAGGCAGGTAATTTGGTTCCAGAGTAAAAATTGATTATCCTCCATTTGCTCTCACTCCCAGACCAGACTGTCCTCTCCAGGCTGCCAATGCCCTGAGCCAATGGCTGGTCTCTGGTCCACAGATGCCTAATAGGCCCTCAGCAGGCAGAGCACGGGGCTCAGGCTGCAGACTGACATGCACCACTGACCTGCCACCCATGGTCTGTGTGACCTGATTCAGCAACTGTGTTCCCCGTGCCTCAGTTTCCCTTTATTGGATACTGGGAAGTGGTGTCTGGTTCACCATGTTGTCTATAAGTTAACCTTGAAATACTCACAGTAACCTGACCTTGGTTTAGAGGAGCTGCCCCCAAAGAAAAAGCCCCTACTCTGATCTGCCTCCCAGTGAGAGCGCCCTGGGCTGGTCCCGGGAGGACCAGGAGCTCCAGGGGCATCTCTTTCCTCTGTTCCTCCCCTTGGGGACACGGACCTTCCTGTGGAGCCTCATAGAAGTCCTTCAGGGCACCTGACTTGGCCTGAGGCACCTGTCCCTCTGTGTTCACCACACCTAGTCCCAGGAGAAGGAGATGCCCAGGTGCCCTTGCCCAGATGTGGCTCCTGGGACTGTGCCCTGGCTGGTGACCACCTCCAGGAGCTACCAGATCAGGTAGCCAGTAAATCATTGCTCCCCAGCGGCCCTCAACAGGAAGCCAAACTCCAACCCTGACCATATGTCCTCAGGGTCACCTGGAGCCAGGAGCCTGGGACAGAGGTATGGGACAGGAGCTCCCTGGGCTGACCTTCTCAGTGATGACTCCAGGGCCCTCAGGCCAGGCCTGACTCAGTCCTGCAGGGTCTTTCTCAGGGCCATGCTCCTGGGAAGGACACAGGTGCTGGGCTGAGACTGCTCTGCTTGGGCCGAGTCTCCCACCAGACCACCCTGCTCTCTGCCAGTGGATTCTGGCAGAGGACTGGGCTCTTCTGAATTCTGTCTGCACTGGGTGTGTCCTGCACTAAATACTCCAACTCCATTGTGGGGACGTAATGCACAGGAGGAGGTAGGCAGACCAGGTCTTGGGGTCCTGTGTGTGCAGTGGAGTTGACCCCTCCACCACCCAGAGGGCTGGGGCATCACTCACCATGTACTCGGAACTCTCCAGTTGCTGCTTCACTATCAAAATCGGCAGTTGTGGCTTGTAGGGTGTAGAATCCTGTGTCCCCCTTTGTCACATTCACAAACAGCAGGGACCCATTTGGGTATATTGTCTCACGACCACTGAATGCAGGGCCTTGGGTAGCTGAGTGTGTGAGATTCGAGTAGGATACAATTAGACGGCTTCGGTCTGTTATTTGCCCTCTGTACCACTGGTAGCCTGCAGTGGTATTCGACACATTGTGGACAAGTAGAAGAACGTCTCTCCCTTCAGCAACATTGAAAGGCACTGGTACAATAGTGAGCGAGGCAGTGGGGTGCGGGTTCCAGAAGGTTAACAGTGAGACTAGGAGGGAAATGAGAGAAATCCATCAATACTGGGACCTTGTACTGGGTGGAAAGTTGGGACCCAGGTCCTCAGCAGGAGTCCTCACTATTCAGCCTTGGGGTGTGTGGTGTGTGCGTGTGTCCCTGGTCAAGGCCAGCAGCATGACCTCCATTCCTTCAGGACCCCTGTACCTGTCATCCTCTCTTGGGAACACATTTCCCCAGGTGTCTGCAAGGCTGGCCCCTCAGTGCCCTCAGATCCCTGCTCACACCCAGGACACCTGGGCACCCGCCTCCTCTGACCACCTCCTTTCAGACCCGGGTCTTCCCTGTGGACATTTCCCTGCTCTCTGCCCTCCTAGATCTACACAGCACCTGGCCTCACCTGCAGATCTCCCTCTGGCCTGGCTTCCTGCCCTCTAGAGAGGAAGCTCCAGGAGGCAGAGACTAGTCTGACCCTTGTTGTGGCCCAGGGCCTGGACCAGGGTCAGCCTCCTGAGGATGAGTGAAGCAGGGTCCCCACCCTGAGGGTCCAGGTGTCTGTGTGCCAATGTCTGAGGCTGGTGGCTGCAGACAGTATCCACTGCTCAAGTTGCCTTTCTATTTGGAGGGTGGCCCTGACAGAGCTGTTAACACCGATTTTCAAAATATAATGGCCCCTGGTGAGTAACTTGGGAAAGAGCACCCCTGAGCTTTCTGACCCGCGTCATCTGTTCCTGTTGGTGAGCTTTTGTCTTCTGTGTTCTGTTCCCAATAGGTTCCCAATGGGACATAGTGAAGCCCTGTGTCCCCTGTGAGGGTCGTGTCCTCCCAGGGGGCAGCAGCAAGACTGTGCTCCCAGCTCCCGCCCTCCTCTGGGAACTGTCCCTCTTACCTGCCAGCAGGACCCCCTGCCAGGGGATGCCCCCTCTGCAGGGACAGGCTGAGGGGGGCTGCATGGTCCCTGCTGCTCTGTCCCCTCTGTGGAAGGAGCTTCACTGAGACCCGCTGGGAAGCCCAGGTCCAGGCCACTCAGCCCTGCTGCCTGCTCCTCTCTGAGCTCAGCCTCCTCCCAGGGCAGGAGCACTTTCCTGGGTCACGTGGGCTGGGGGCGGGGTCTCTGTGGAGGAACCTCTCTGTCCCCTCCCTCTCAGTCCTGCCTCCTGTCCCTTCTGCTTTCCCTGTTGGGTTTCACTACTGCATGCCACACCCTGAGGAGCAAGGCAGGTGGGGACGCTGTCCCCTGAGAGAAGTGGCTCACCCAGCACTGGCCTCAGCTGTGTCCTGGCCTCAGGGCTCTCAGCACCACCCAGGGAACCCCTGGGGTCCCCTCACCCCTGGGCATATTTCCTTTATGACAGAGAACCCCAGTTTAGCCCTGTGTCTTCCCCATGTTCTCAAATGCTCTAGGAAGGTGGCTTTCCTCCCAGCAGGAAGGGGACAGAGAGAGAGATCTGGGATCTAAAAAGGGGCCCACTGAGTGATGGCTGGTGAGGGGACCTGCTCTCTGTACCTGGTGTCTCCAGCTTGGCCTCTGAGCAGCTATCTCAGGACTTCACACACTTTGTGTCCTGGGTGGGAAGGACTGTGGTACTGGAGGTAGGTGACCATGGGCTCCTTGGTCCTCAGGGAGAGATTTTTAGGGAGACCCTCTCTCTCCAGTTTTTGGTGGAGCTGTGTCTCAGGACTGCCCATGCCTTCCTTGGGTGGCCTGTGTCCTCTACCTAGTGATTCCTCTGTGGTCCCCCTGACTTTTTCCATGGGTGATACTAGAGGCAAAGGCCTGCTTAGAGACCCCTGGCAGTGCAAGGTCCTCACAGGCCCAGGAAGGAGTGGGGGTGGGAGCCAAGCAGGTTCGTGGAAGGCACCCTGGTCTATTGGGGATGGAAATCAGGCCACATTTCCACCTCCTGAGCCAAAGCCTGGTCCAAGTTTCAGAATCAATCAGCCAAGTGTTGACTGTGAGTCTCATGTCGCCCCCTGGTGGTCATAAGGAGAACTGTGGCCAGTGTCAGGGACTGTAGCAGGGATGCGGCCCAGGGGCCAAATATTGAGAGCTGATCCTGTCCCTGGGCACAGGTGGCCCTGACCTACTGGCTGCAGAGTGGGTCCAATTTACTGAGTTTCCCCAGGATACCTGACTTTGTCCAGGGCAGGGTGAGTCTAGGGAGAGGACGGGAGCTGTCCTGGGGACTCCTGCTCCAGAGTAGGGAGGACTGGGCAGCCTCAGGAGGGGCCATCTGTGCCTGAGGGTTCAAAGGAAGGACATGGGGAGGTGTCTCCTGAGGCTTTAGGGGGCAAGCACTGGCTTTATGAGGTATGTCTGCAGTTGGCTGGTGTCGTGTGAGTATTATGGAGATGATCTGGCCAGATACATGACACAGCCTCTCATCCCAGCTGTTCAGGAGGCTGAGGCAGGAGGATTGCTAGTTTGAGGCCAGACCATGCAAATTAGTTTGACTTTGTCTCAAAATAAAAAAATGTAATGTAGTTCAGTTTTAGAGTGCTCCTGGGGACAATCCCTAGTCCCTTTCACCTTTCTGTCTGTCTGTCTGTCTGTCTCTCTGTCTCTCTCTCTCTCTCTCACACGCACACACACACTAAGCAGAGTGGGTGTATTTTACACAACTTTCCTAAAAACTTTTCATAGTGTAATACTTATTACAAAAATGTGCTCTATTAACCCTTTTAACTGTAGAAATACATGCCATGAGTCCATTCGAATGAATATACAATGACTACTATTTCCAGAATTTTTTCATCGCCTGCACTAAAACTCTGACCATTAAGTTATCACATCTCAGGACTCTCTAACCTCGGGTAACCTTGAATCTATTTCCTGTCTCTATGAATTTGCCTGTTCCAGATATTTCATATAAATGAAATTATACAACCACATACTATTTTGCTTCTTGTTTAATCATGTTTTCTGGGTTACTCAGGTTGTAATGTGCATCAGAGCTTTATTTTTCATGGCTAATTAATAATCCAACATATTTGTAATCCATGTTTTTTATGTATTCCTCTGTTGATGGGCACAGGGTTGTTTCCACACCTGCCAGTTTTGAAGAATGGTGTGGCGAGCCTTAGCCTGGGGGAGCTATTGGAGTCCCTGTTTCCCATCCTGTGGGCACGTGCCCAGCTGTGGGAGTGCTGGGTGGATGGGCTTCTGCCTGGCTCTGGCAGGAAGTGCCCAAGTGTTCTCCACTGTGACTGCAGCTCTTCAGAGTCCCTGGGGAATGTAGGAAGGTGTGGAGTGAGATGTCATTGTGATTTTGATTTGGTTCCTTAGTGACTGATGACACTGAGCATCTTGTCATGTGCTTATTGGCCACTGGAACATCTCTGGTGACAGGTCTTGCAAGCCCTTTGCCCTCCCCCTTCCCTTTCACTGCTGGGGATTGATCTGAGGGGCACTGTAACTCTGAGCTACACCCCCAGACTTTACATGTATTTATTTATTTTTGTTTTGGGACATAGCCCAGGCTGGCTTCAAACTTGTGAATCTCGTGTCTTAGACGCCTGGGATTACAGATGCCCAGGACTGTGCATGGGTCCTTGGCGTATTCTAAATTTAGATTATTCTTTGGTTGCAGATTTATACCCATTTGTTATATAATCTAGACATGAAATCCATACCACAAGTATATTTGCAAATATTTTCTTCTATTCTTTACTTTTTCTTAAACTCATGCCACATTTTGTTTATAAGTAATTTTAACAAAAGCATATGGGTCCATACTCGTTTACAAAACAAGTTCAGTCTTTTATGGTAAATACTTTTAGTGTTTTAAAAAATCAAATCATTTTCATATTTGAACGTCTTTACAAGTAAGTGTTCATTCTCCTGCATCCTGCTTGTTGGAAGGTACTGTTCAGGATCAGATCTCAGGCTTCCTCTTCCCAGTGTGCACAGAGCTCCCCACGTCCATGATGTCATGGACCCAGCAGGTGTCACTGATGTGTGCCTACAGACCCTTGGGAAGCCCACATTGCTGTGGAGGTTCAGGCAGCCATGTGGCCATACCTTGAAACATGTCTTCTCCAGGGACTTCAAGTGATTAGTAGTGACAAGCCCCAGTCAGTCTCTGCCCTCTTACACTCAGTTCTTCTGCCAAGAGGGGAAGGATTTCAAATGCTGAGTTGTTACTGGAGGTTGTTGTAGACACTGTTGATTGTCACAGCTGGGGACGGGTCCTACTGGAGTTAGTAGGTACAATTCCAGATGGTGCTCGACACCCCACAGCACACAACCCCACAAGGATGACCAGCCCCAGTGTCAGTGGAGAGAAGGGAACCCTGCTCTGCACCCTTGCCCGACCTTCCCAGAGCCTCCCCTCCCCCTGCTTCTTCCCACCCCTCACTCCCCTCCAACCCCCTCCCATTGCATATTCACTTCCATTCCCTGAAGGTGCCCTTTGCCCAAGGTCAGCCCTCACCTGCCCTCTCTGGGGGCCTCTGTTTGTGCCTGGCAGGAGTGTCCACTAGAGGGCGTGCGCGCTCTTCCCTGAGCTCAGGGGAGCCTTGGTGTCCTCTGAGACCAGTGCAGCTGCTCTTCCAGCCCCAGCCCCAGTCCTGGGTGGAGCTGAGGATTTGCTCTAGAGGGAGCTCCTGGGACAGGCACTTGGGACAGGGACCCCAGGGAAGAACCTCATGTAGAAAGTTTGTGCACCTGGACTGGTGACCCAGAACCAATGCCAGAGACTAGGTCATTTGGAGGGGGAATGTCAGACGCAGTGGCTGGACACTCAGGAACCTGATGCCTCTGCCCGTGTGGCCACTGGGGGAAATGTCTGTGAGCCTGTGTCCCTCAAGGCTGTGTCACCTGGGATTTTTGTAAATAGGTGTCAGCAGGGCTGCTGTGGAACATTCTAGACTGGACCTTCTACAATGGGAGATGGGTCCTCCCAGGTATGCTCACTTGGAAGAATCAGGAGGGATGTGACAGTCACCAGGCACAGATGCCCATCAGGGCCTGAGGGGGCAGGAGGATCTGGGCCTCACTGTCACCCCTGAGTGGGGATCAGGAAGTTGGGTGTGGTGGTCCTGCCCACTCACCTCAGCAGGGACCATTGCTGGTTGTCTGTAGGGAACTGGGCTTCCCACAACCATCTTGCAGGGCAGAGGAGGATCTGGAACCTTCCCCTAGAGTCAGACAGTGGAGGAAGCAGGTGAGTTAGGAGATGGAGGTGGGAGCTCTTGGTTGATGGGCAGCCAGGAGACACCCAGGCTCTGAGTGCTGCAGCTGACAGTGGTCAGAGTGGTCCTCTGGGAATCCAGCCTTGTCCCTGCAAATGTTCATGAACTTCCCACCTCTGTGCTCCTCAGTTCCCTTCCTGAGCTCCTAGCCACAGCCAACCTCACAGCTGAGGTCCTGGGTCCTACACCAGCACTTTGTCCCCATCTCATTGTGCAGCTCTGTGTGGCTGTCCACCTCTCTCCTATCCCAGGTCTTCTGAGTGGCTGCCTTACACCCTTGTCCCCATGAGGGTAAATGGTCAGCTGAAGGCAGAGTCCTTCCTGGTGGGCTGAGGGACCAGCAACGGGGGCCCCTGAGTCCTGATTATCAGTGAGTCACCTCGAGGTGGCAGCAGCTGAGCAGAGCTGGAGAGAGAGACTGGGGTGGGTGGGGGGCCCAGGAATGACTGAACTTGCTAGTGCAGATGGCAGGTGGCTTGTGCTGTGGGAACAGGGAATTTAATGGGAAATGTGAGGTGTTTTCTTGTTTTTTAGATTTTGGAGTTTGGAGCTGCAGGTTCCCCTAATGTCACTGTCAACCTCAGTGCTATGCATGCAGGGCACAGACTTCAGATTCCACACTCTGATGCAGGTTGGTATTGGGAGCACCATCAGCCTGGCCCAGGGGACCCTCTGCATGTGCAGCTGCTGCAGACAGCTGTGCTCTCTGCTAGGAATAGTGCTCCTTCCTCCCTAGGCCTCCTGATCCCAGCTCCCTGATGCCCCATCCTCCCGCAGACACAACACTCATCCCCTATCTCAGTCCTCAGAGTCCATGAGCTGACTGCCCAGGGACATAGTGCCTGTCATTGACTATGTGTGCTCCTATGTCTTTCTGGTGCTGTCTGTAAGGTCCTTGCTTAGCATCTAGATGGCCATCTTAAGTGACCCACCCAGCCCTTCACCGCCTGCATTCTTTCCAGCCCAAGGAAGTATCAGCACTCCTCATACCAACCCCAGCCATAACCACCTGCATTAGGACCTGCTGGACTCTGATCCCTGAGCTTGCCCCATAAAAGTCGTGGATCCCAAGCCTGTATTGGCTCTCTTTGTTCATGGAGAGATGTGCCTTTATTTGTGAGCTCTGACAAATGAACTATTGTGTGTATCTCTGCCTGGTCTCCGTCTTTCTTGCTCACCTGTCTCCGGGTTTTTCGCTTTCCTCTCACTCTCCAATATCCTCCAGGTACCCTGAGGAAGGAGAGAGAGAGAGAGAGAGAGAGAGAGAGAGAGAGAGAGAGAGAGAGAGAGAGAGAGAGAGAGAGAAAACACCTGCACACATGCACACACGTGCAACCTAAGGCTAAGGGGTTTTGAGAGCCATTTAAAATATATTTATTTAAACCAAGAATCAAAGAATCAGGACTTGTACCTATAATAAATGGTGTTTCCTGTTGTGGGTTGGGCCACTCTTGTTTGCTATTCATTTCCTGTTGGGAACACTGTCCATGTTAGATGGCACATCCACACTCATGGCCACTGACCTTGGAGTTCCACCCACCCGACAGGAGCAGGGGTGGACTGCAGGGGAGTGACCTGAGTTAGCTCTGCCTCACCAGAGAGGGCTCACATGTTGTCCTACTGTGTCCAGATCTGCCACAAGAAGAGTGTCCTCTGGAGGCCCCTCTGTCTACAGTGTATGCAGGGAACCTACTGAGTGCCACATTCCTGAGGTCACCTCAGAGTCACCCCCAGAAAAGGCCCGGGCTTCCCATGTGTGGGCTGTGGTCAGGGATGTGAGCCTGGCTCTCTGGGGCCCTGGAGCTGCCCTCTCCGAGGCCCAGGTCTCCTTAGGAAGCTCTGCTCCTCACCATGGTGCTCCTCACCATGGTGCCCCTCACCAGCCCTCCTGTGACTCTGGCCTTGTCCTCTGCAGTCCTTCTCTGTCTGGTGGCTCTGCCCCTGTCCTGGCACCAACTTGGGGCCTTGATCAGTGAGTCTGGTGCTGGCTGTAAGACTTATCAAAAGAAACAATTACAACAAATTTGGTTAGAGATAGTGAATGGCTTTTACACCACTGTCTAGAATCAGGCCATGCTCAGAGCCAGAGCAGCTTCAAATACCTCTGGGGGCTGCCATGTGGCCTAGCATGGTTTATGGTGGGAAACAGCAGGGAGGTGTGGAGACCACAGTGAAGCTCAGAGCCTGGCTGGCTGCCCAGGACAGACTGATTGACACCTCTGACCCACTGAAGCTGGGGTCTGTAACCAAAGGTCACTCAACCAATGTTACTTGAGTAGACTCCTGTGTTGGTTAGTTTCAGTTAGTACAAATGACTCCACATGGGTTTGTCCTTTGGGGCCCATTATGGGAGCCTAGTCCTATACAATGGCTTCCTAATGATCTTGTTTAAGAAGTTTGCTTGTTTTGTTTTGCTTTTGGAACCAAGGATTGAATCCATGGGCATTTAACCGCTGAACCACATCTCTAGCTCTTTGTATTTTGAGACAGAATTTCACCAGGTTGCTTATAGCCTCGCTAAGTTGCTGAGGCTGGCCTTGAACTTGTGATCCTCCTGCCTCAGCCTTATGAGCCACTGTGATTACAGGATAGCACAAGGCCTAGATCTCCCCAAGTGCCCTGTGAGTCTGTCAGAAAAGGTTCTGGAAGGGCTCTGTGAGACAGGAAGAGGGGGAGATGGGGCCTTCTTTCCTCTGGGATGACTGTGTTTTGTGACATCCATCCAGTGATTGAGACTAGGAGGAGGAGGAGGGGTCAGAGCAGGGCAAAGACACACTTAATTTTGGGGAAGAAAGATCCTTTCTGTGCATGCAGAACTGAGGCCTGAGGGGCCTGCGTCCTGAAGGTCAGGCAGGAAGTGTCCCATCGGGGCCTGGTGTCCCAGGAACAGAGGATCGGCCTCCCCAGACACAGACTCCAGGATGTGCTGACACAGGAGGGCCTGGCCCAGGTCTAGCTCCAGGTGACCAGGCCTGACTCTCTGCAGAAGGACCCATGAAGCACTTAGGGAACCCAGGATTGGCACTTCCTGTCTCACCTGGAGTTGCTGGAGCCCTGTCCCTCCTCTCCAGTCCTGGACACCAGAGATGTTTGTGACGTGGCTCTGAGACACATGCCCCAGAGACTCAGCCTCTCCACACACCTCACAGGGGCACAGCAACACCAGGTTTGTCTAGAGGCACCTGGAGAAGGACCCATGGAGTGGGCTGGGCAGGGCAGGAGGGCACAGGCACTGTCCACAGAGCTGGGCTGGGCAGAGGCACCCCTCTTGGACAATGACCTAAGGGCATGCCCTTGGAAGGCAAGCAGCAGGGGCCCAGGGCTTCTGTGTGTCCACTTCTCTCCAAGCTCTCTGTCTCAGGGCCTTCTCTGGTGATGTGGTCAGTCCTGGGTGCTGGGGGTGGGGGAGCCTAAGGGACACAATGAGCGCTCAGCTGGAGGGGCTGTCTGCTCATTCACTAGTCACCCACCTGGGTGGGAACACTGGGATGCCTCTGTCCTGAGTGTCCCTTGTCCTGTCACTTCTTGCTTTTTACTTTTTCTTTTATTTCAGGGCCGAGCACCAAACTCAGGGCACTGCACATGCTAGGTAAGTGCTTTTCCACTGAGCTAAATCCCCAAGCCCTGTCCTGTGACTTCTCTGGAAAAACTCCCCCTTAGCAGGTTCTATGGGGCAGTACCTACCACTGTGCTCAGGACAGGGACCTGAGGGGCCATTTGCTCCCTGAGAACAGGTGTGGATGTAGCTCACCATATCAGCTCTGTGGTTGAGGATCTGAAGCCCAAAGTGTGCAGAGGGCCAACCCACCAGCCAGCTCCTCCAGGGACCCTCTATAGCTCCAGGGCATGATATCTGTGTTTTGGATCAAGGGCTGGTTTCACAGACACCCTGTTGGGCCTGCTGCCCTCAGGGAGGGAGGAGAGGGACTAGGGTGCTCCTGCATGCTGGAGCCTCAGGTGTCCCACCTGGTGAGTCTGCTCAGACACCTGCCGTGGGTGAGGGTGTCAGAGCAGGTGGTTGTCACTGACCTGAAGCTGGCATGTGTGGGGGCAGGTGTTCAGGAGACCAGAGCACAAGGCACCTGTTGAGGGGAGGGTCACAAGGGCCTGAGCATCGTCACGAGGTAGGAATGGGAAGGACTCCTGGAGAGCCAGCACCTTAACTCCACCTGTTTCAGGATCTGAGGCTGTGTCCAGGGAGAAACAGTGGCTGCAGGGATGGGGTACAGAGGACCTGGGGACTGCTCAGATGCAGAAGGTGGGGAGGAATCCACCCCATCCAAGTCAGGGAGGCTCCCCTGAACACACAGGAGACCCTTTCCCTGGGCAGCCTGGGTGGTGTGAGTGTGACCTGCAGGGACACTGCAGGGGCTGCACCTGAGTCCCTGGAAAGCCAGGGCTGGGTCTATAGGAGCAGAGTTGTCTATGTGGATGGGACAAGATGGGAATGAGGAAGATGGGGTGACACACCTGGCTTGGAGGACTCTGCTTGGCTCAGGTTCCCAGCGGTTCACGTGTGGCTCAGGGAGCAGGATGCTGTGCTCAGGGGGAGCTCCAGCTGGTGTGGTTCCCAGATGGGCCCTGGGGCCAGAAGTGAGTTAAAAGTTCCCATCAAGTTTTAGGATGCAGCAGTGACCTGAGGCACAGGGGACTGTGTTCCTGTGCACACGCTGGAGCTTCGGAAGAATGCAGCTTCAGGACACCTTGATTCTGTTTTCTGAGCTACTGTGTTGGAGCCAGTCTGTGGCAGCAGCACCAGGAAACCAAGGCTAGAGAAGTCACTGTGTGTGACCTGATGCTATGTTCACGCAGGACGAGCCTCACTAGAGCTGAGTCACGGGGGAATCTCTGAGGGTCTCTTCCGACTTCTCATCTCAGGACAGACAACCCTCAGGCATCATCAGAGCATCCCTGAGCTTTAGTCCTTGGACCTCTGATTTCCAGGAATGTAGTGGCCTGATCCACGTGAACCTACCTGAGAACATCAGCCTTCCCAGCCTTCAGGGAAGGAGTCAGAGCAGTGGCCCAATTGTGTGGAGGAGGCTTCAGAAGATATCCTGGGACCCAGGTCAGGGAGGAGACCCTCTGTCCTGTCACCATGGAGCCTGGAGAGCCCCATGTGGGGAGCCCTGAGCCTCTGCCCTGGGTGCTGGAGTGTGGAGAGGAGGCTGGTCCCAGGGAGACCAGGCAGGGCAGAGTGGAAGGTGATGGGAGGGCAGGGCTGGAGCCTCGGGCAGGGCCTGAGGCCCTTGTTCAGGGCCTGAATCTGGGTCTGACCCTGTCCCCAGATTACTCTGACAGTCACTATTCCTGTCCCAGCAGAGGTGACGATGTCCTGAGTACTGGCCTTTGGGCAGAGAAGTAATCAATGGCACTGGAGCGTGAGGGCCACTGAGTGCTCTGCTGGCTTCAGGGCCTTGGGACCCTCACCCTTCCCTGTGGACAGACCCGACCTTTGCCCTGGTCCCACCTCCCAGCTCCTGTCTCCCAGGAATAGAAACCCTGTGGGAACAACTTAGAGACCATGATTCCCCTGCGTGACATAGGAGAGAGCTGACCTGGAAATTGAGGGGAGTGTCTGCCAAGAGACATTCCCAGAAGAACCAACAGAGCAAAGGAGGGAAGGGGGTCTTTATTCAGCGCCTTTCCAGGTGACCTATAGGAGCCCTTCCCTCTCCCTGAAGCCCCTGCTCCTGGGCACAGGCAGCCTACATGTAGCCATTCAGAGCCCAGGGCAGCCTGTCTGGGTCTCCAGAAATCCCAGGGACCCCCTTCCCCTCTAGGTTCCAGGGTCCTATAGGGTCAGGCTCCACCTCTGTCCCATCACCCAGCATCTGGGATCTAGCAGGACCCTCCCTCAGCCCACATGGAGCATCGTGTGGTGGAAACTAAGAATCCATATCAGCCTTGTGGTCGACCCGGCAGTAGATGTCCAGGTCAGGGTTTAGTAATTCCTGAAAAAGAACAAAGAGGCCTCTGACCCTTCTGAACCAGGGAACCATGAACTCCTAGGCCCTGGCCCACCTGGGACTGCTCTGTCCCTGTGTCTGTCTGGGCTCAGAGGCTCCTGTTCCCAGGCCCCCCATCCCCTGCTCACCACCCCCTGATCCCATTTTGGCTGCTGTTTCCTGGCAAGATCAGGAAGGTGTGGGGAGGGGCATCTCTTGGGTATGCCCTGGACTGTGGGCAAGGGTCATCACCCACACTCACCTGGTAGATGGGGACAGCAGCTCTGTGGCCAGGGGGTGGGGCCTGGCAGGGAGGGAGACTGGAAATCAGGGTCAGCAAGGGAGGATCATCAAGGTTGAGACTCCAGTGAGCAGGTGCTGGGTGGTGCCTGGAAGGTTCTGGTCTCTGACAGGCCAGAGCTTACTCCCTGTGTCTGTTTAGCCCTTTCTTCTCAGGAGGTACCAGCTCTGGGTCCTGAGGCCCAGCCTCCACTTCTGGACAGACACCCCAGTTTCTGTCCAGACTATGGTCCCCATCATTAACCCAGGACCACTGATAGAAGCTCCCACCACCCATTCTGCACCAGGATTCCCCTGAGATGGCAGGAAATAGGGTGGGCTGAGGACAGAATGATGGTGTCCTGTCCCTGAGAGTGGCCAAGTCTCTGGCCAGGGCCAGGCTAACCTTGTCCTGGTCCAACATGAGTGGGGGTGTCTGTGCTGTGTGGGGGTTGACAGTGCCCCTGCCCTGGGCCTGCAGAGCTAGTCCCCTGTGTAGAGATAGCTGGGGGGACTTACCAGGGAGGTGGAGCTGTCAGAGGGACCTTGGCCTGGGGACAGAGACAAGAGTTAGCAGTAGTGTGAGGAGGGCTGGGCCCCTTCTGCAGGTAGGGCTGGGGGACCTCAACTATCACAGGACAGTGTCAGTGGGCAGCCCTCACAGACTGTCTAGCCCCGGCCCAGCCTCGGGTACAGATCAGAACCAAGGTGACATCAAGGCACCTAATTTCTGGGTAGTCAACCACATTCTCTCCAAGCTTTTGCATCTACCCCATGCTCATGGCTTTGCCATATGATGGCCCTTGACAGTGGAAATATATGACAGAAGCACTGGTGACACGGGGGCCACTCACAGATCACAGCCAGTCTGTAGCGGTCACTCCTGGTGGAACTGGCGGGGTTGGAGGCCTCACACTGATACTCCCCTGCATCCTCCTGTCTGACGGGGTCTATGCTGAGGGTCCTGTGGTCCGGGGACAGCTGCATCCTGTCTGTGAGCTGCAGAGTCTGGCTATTGAAGATCCACGTGATGGAGATTCCAGGGTCATCTGAGAGGCAGGTCATGGCCACAGAGTGTGGTTTTGTGTTGGTGGCTCTGAGGGAGGGCTGGGCCACAAGCCCTGTGGAAAAACAGCAAGGGGCTGACCGACAGCGGGCCTGAGGCCTGGGGCCCTGTCTGTCCAGGCTTCTGCCTGGCTCTTGCAGGAAGTGCCCAAGAGTTCTCCACTGTGACTGCAGCTCTTCAGAGTCCCTGGGGAATGTAGGAAGGTGTGGGGTGAGGTGTCATTGTGATTTTGATTTGGTTCCTTAGTGACTGATGACACTGAGCGTCTTGTCATGTGCTTATTGGCCACTGGAACATCTCTGGTGACAGGCCTTCCAAGCCTTTGCCCTCTCTCTTCTCTTTCACTGCTGGGGATTGATCTGAGGGGCGCTGTACCTCTGAGCTACACCCCCAGCCTTTACATGTATTTATTTACTTTTATTTTGGGACAGTTCCCCAGGCTGGCATCAAACTTGTGAATCTTGCATCTGACTCCTGTGATTACAGGTGCCCAGGACTGTGCCAGGGTCCTTGACCTATTCTAAATTTAGGTTCTTCTTTGGGTGCAGGTTTATACCCATTTGTTATATAATCTAGACATGAAATCCATATCACAAGTTTATTTTCAAATATTTTCTCCTGGCATTTCACTTGCTCTTAAACTCATGCCACTTCTTTGCTTATAAGTAATTTTGATAAAAACATATGGGTTGATACTCATTTAGAAAAACAAGTTCAGTCTTTTATGGTAAATTCTTTTAAGTTTTTAAAAAATAAATTCATTTTCACATTTGAACGTCTTTACAAGGAGGGATTCATTTTCCTGCATGCTGCTTGTTGGAAGTACTGCTGAGGATCAGATCACAGGCTTCCTCTTCCCAGTGTGCACAGAGCTCCCCATGTCCATGATGTCATGGACCCAGCAGGTGTCACTGATGTGTGGTTACAGACCCGGGAAGCCCTCAGTGCTGTGGAGGTTCAAGCAGCCATGTGGCCATACCTTGACACATGTCTTCTCCAGGGACTTCAAGTGATTGGTCGTGACAAACATCAGTCTCTGCCCTCTTACACTCAGTTCTTCTGCCAAGAGGGGGAGGATTTCAAATGCGGAGTTGTTACTGGAGGTTGGTGTAGACACTGCTGATTGTCACAGCTGGGGGAGGGGGTCCCACAGGACTTAGTAAAAGAATCCCAGATGGTGCTCAACACCCCACAGCACACAGCCCCACAGGATGACCAGCCCCAGTGTCAGCGGAGAGGAGAGGGGAGCCCTGCTCTGTGCCCTTCCCCGACCTTCCCAGAGCCTCCCCTCCCCCTGCTTCTTCCCATCCCTCACCACCCCTCCCCCACCACTGCTCCCTCCCATTGCATCTTCAGTTTCATCCTTTGAAGGTGCCCTTTGCCTAAGGTCAGCCCTCACCTGCCCTCCATGGGGGCCTCTGTTTGCACCTGGCAGGAAATGTCAACTACAGGGCGCTCATGCTCTTCCCTGAGCCTAGGTGGGCCTTGCTGTCCCAGCCCCAGTCCTGGGTGGAGCTGAAGATTTGCTCTAGAGGGAGCTCCTGGGACAGGCACTTGGGACAGGGACCCCAGGGAAGAACCTCACGTAGGAGGTTTGTGCACCTGGACTGGTGACCCAGAACCAACGCCAGAGCCTAGGTCATTTGGAGGGGGAATGTCCTAGACTCAGTGGCTGGACACTCAGGAACCTGATGCCTCTGTCTGTGTGGCCACTGGGGGAAATGTCTGTGAGCCTGTGTCCCTCAAGGCTGTGTCACCTGGGATTTTTGTAAATAGGTGTCAGCAGAGCTGCTGTGGAACATTCCAGACTGGACCTTCTACAATGGGATACGGGACCTCCCAGGTATCCTCCCTTGGCAGAATCAGGAGGGATGTGACAGTCACCAGGCACAGATGCCCATCAGTCTCTGGTCCTCACTGTCACCTCTGAGTGGGGACCAGGAAGTTGGGTGTGTGGTCCTGCCCACTCACCTCATCAGGGGCCATTGCTGGTTGTCTGTAAGGGACTGGGCTTCCCACCACCCCCTTGCAGGTCAGAGGAGGATCTGGAACCTTCCCCTAGAGTCAGACAGTGGAGGAAGCAGGTGAGTTAGGAGATGGAGGTGGGAGCTCTTGGTTGATGGGCAGCCAGGAGACACCCAGGCTCTGAGTGCTGCAGCTGACAGTGGTCAGAGTGGTCCTCTGGGAATCCAGCCTTGTCCCTGCAAATGTTCATGAACTTCCCACCTCTGTGCTCCTCAGTTCCCTTCCTGAGCTCCTAGCCACAGCCACCCTCACAGCTGAGGCCCTGGGTCCTGCACCAGCACTTTGTCCCCATCTCACTGTGCAACTCTATGTGGCTGCCCACCTCTCTCCTACCCCAGGTCTTCAGAGTGGCTGTCATTAAACCTCTGCCCCCATGAGGGCAAAGGGCCAACTTAAGGCAGAGTCCTTCCTGGTGGGCTGAGGGACCAGCACTGAGGCCCCTGAGTCCTGATTATCAGGAGTCCCCAGGAGGTGGCAGCAGCTGAGCAGAGCTAGGGAGCCAGGGACTGGATGGATGGGGCCCAGGAATGACTGATCTTGCTAGTGTAGATGGCAGGTGGCTTGTGCTGTGGGAACAGGGAATTTAACGGGAAATGGGAGGTTTTTCTTATTTCTTAGATTTTGGGATTTGGAGCTACAAGTTCCCCTTGAATGTCCCTGTCAACCTCAGTGCTATGCATGCATGGCTCAGACTTCAGATTCCACACTCTGATGCAGGTTGGTATTGGGAGCACCATCAGCCTGGCCCAGGGACCCTCTGCATGTGCAGCTGCTGCAGACAGCTGTGCTCTCTGCTAGGAATAGAGCTCCTTTCTCCCTGGGCCTCCTGATCCCAGCTCCCTGATGCCCCAGCCTCCTGGCAGACCCAACACTCATCCCCCATCTCAGTCCTCACAAAGGTTCATGAGCTGGCTGCCCAGGGGCATCGTACCTGTCATTGGCTGTGTGTTGTCCTGATGTCTCCTGGTGCTGTCTAAGATCCTGCAGGTATCCTGAGCGGGGGTGGGGGGGAGGAGAGAGAGAGAGAGAGAGAGAGAGAGAGAGAGAGAGAGAGAGAGAGAGAGAACCTGCATACATGTGCAGCCTCAGGCTAATAAGGGATTTTGAGATTTTGGGGTTTGGAGCTACAGGTTCCCCTTGAATGTCCCAGTAAACCTCAATGCTATGATTAAACATCATTAAATAGATGTCTATTTAAAGCAAGAATAGAAAGAGCAGGACTTGTAATAAATGGTGTCTCCTGTTGTGGGTTGGGCCACTCTTGTTCATGTTCATTTCCTGTTGGGAACTGTCCATGTTAGATGGCACATCCACACTAATGGCCACTGACCTTGGAATTCCACCCACTAGACAGGAGCAGGGGGTGGACTGCAGGGGAGTGACCTGAGTCAGCTCTGCCTCACCAGAGAGGGCTCACATGTTGTCCTACTGTGTCCAGATCTGCCACAAGAAGAGTGTCCTCTGGAGGCCCCTCTGTCTACAGTGTATGCAGGGAACCTGCTGAGTGCCACATTCCTGAGGTCACCTCAGAGTCACCCCCAGAAAAGGCCCACAGCACTGGCTTCCCATGTGTGGGCTGTGGTCAGGGATGTGAGCCTGGCTCTCCGGGTCCCTGGAGCTGCCCTCTCCGAGGCCCAGGTCTCCTCAGGAAGCTCTGCCCCCCACCATGGTGCCCCTCACCAGCCCTCCTGTGACTCTGCCTTGTCCTCTGCTGTCCTTCTCTGACTGGTGGCTCTGCCCCTGTCCTTGCACCTCTGCACTGAGGCCCAGTCTTAATGGTGATCAGTGAGTCTGGTGCTTGCTGTAAGGTTTGTCCAAAGACACAATTACCACAAATTTGGTTAGAGATAGTAACTGGCTTCTGTACCTGTTTCTGGAATCAGGCAGGGATCAGAACCAGCAGCTTCAAAGAACCCCAGGGCTGCCACGTGGCCCAGCATGGTTTATGATGGAAAATGGAAGTGAGGTGTGGAGACCGCAGTGAGGTTCAGAGCCTGGCTGGTTTGCTGTGTTTGAATCAGGTGGCTGCCCAGGACAGACTGATTGACACTGTGACCCACTGAAGCTCCGTGGCTGTAACCAACAGTCACTCGGCCATTGTTACATGAGTAGACATCTCTGTTGATCAGTTTCAGTGAGTACAAATGACTCCATCTGTGTTTGTTCTTTTGGGCTCATTATGGGAGCCGACTTCTATAGGATGGCTTTCCCAAGGTTTTATTTAAGAGGTTTGTTTGTTTTGTTTTGTTTTTGGTACCAGGTGTTGAATCCATGGGTGCTTAACCACTGAGCAACGTCTCCAGCTCTTTTTCTTTTGAGACAGGTCTCACTAGATTGCTTACAGTCTTGCTAAGTTGCTGAGGCTGGCCTTGAACTTGTGATTCTACTGCCTCAGCCTCATGAGCCACTGGGATTACAGAAGAGCACCCAGTCCAGAGCTCCCCAAAGTACCTTGTGAGTCTGTCAAAGAAGGCTCTGGAAGGGCTCTGTGAGACAGGAGGAGGGGGAGATGGGGCCTCTTTCCTCTGGGATGACTGTGGTTTGTGACATCCATCCAGTGATTGAGACTAGGAGGAGGGGGGGGGTCTGAGCAGGGTGAAGACCCACTTTATTTATGGGCAGAAAGACGTTTTCTGTGCATGCAGAACCGAGGCCTGAGTGGCCTGCGTCCTGAAGGTCAGGCAGGAAGTGTCCCATCGGGGCCTGGTGTCCCAGGAACAGAGGATCGGCCTCCCCAGACACAGACTCCAGGATGTGCTGACACAGGAGGGCCTGGCCCAGGTCTTGCTCCAGGTGACCAGGCCTGACTCTCTGCAGAAGGACCCATTAGCACTTAGGGAACCCAGGATTGGCACTTCGTGTCACACATGGAGGAGCTGGAGCCCCCTCCTTCCTTTCAAGTCCTGGACACCAGAGATGTTTGTGACGTGGCTCTGAGACACATGCCCCAGAGACTCAGCCTCTCCACACACCTCACAGGGGCACAGCCACACCAGGTTTGTCTAGAGGCACCTGGAGAAGGACCCAGGGAGTGGGCTGGGCAGGGCAGGAGGGCACAGGCACTGTCCACAGAGCCAGGCTGGACAGAGGCACCTGCTCTTGGACAGTGCCTTCAGGACATGCCCTTGGAAGGCAAGCAGCAGGGCCCAGGGCTTCTGTGTGTCCACTTCTCTCCAAGCTCTCTGTCTCAGGGCCTTCTCTGGTGATGTGGTCAGTCCTGGGTGCTGGGGGAGGGGGAAACTGAGGGACACAGTGAGTGCTCAGCTGGAGGGGCTGCCTGCTCATTCACTAGTCACCCACCTGGTGGGAACACTGGGATGCCTCTGTCCTGAGTGTCCCTTGTCCTGTCACTTCTTGCTTTTTACTTTTTCTTTTAATTCAGGGCCGAGCACCAAACTTAGGGCACTGCACATGGTAGGTAAGTGCTTGTCCACTGAGCTAAATCCCCAAGCCCTGTCCTGTGACTTCTCTGGAAAAACTCCTTCTGAGAAGGGACTACGGGGCAGGACCCACCACTATGCTCAGGGCAGGGACCTGAGGGGACTTTTGCTCCTGGGAACAGGTGTGGGTGGGCATCAGCACATCAGCTCTGTGGTTGAGGATCTGAAGCCTAGAATGTGGAGGGGGTCACCCACCAGCAGCTCCACCAGGGACCCTCTAAAGCTCCAGGGCATGGGGGACCTCTGGAGTCCATGATGGTGCCCACCTGTGCCCACCTGTCCCTCACAGGGTCACTGGCACATTACAGCAGCTTCCTTCAAACTGGGGCTTAAAGGTACACAGTTCTCAGGGCCCTTAGAGAGAACCAAGAAGAAGAGAGGCCTGGGCCTTGGGGAGGACAGAGGCCAGGCCCGTTATGGGGAAGCTGCTGTCCTCACTTCAACAGCATTTGAACAGTGTCCAGGAATCCAACACAAAGCCACTGTCTGTGATCAGGACCTGCCTCTCAGATGATGCTGGAATCTCCATCAGGTGGATCTTAAATAGCCAGACTCTGCAGCTCACAGAGATTGCAGCTCTCCCAGGACCACAGCACCCTCAGCATGGACCCAGCACACAGCAAGATGTTGTGGTGGCGGCTTGGCTGGAGGGCTCCCTGGGCTCTGCTCTGTCCTCCTCTGTGGAAGGGGCTTCAGCTTCAGACCTGCTGGGAAGCAGGGGGCCAGGCCAGTCAGTGCTGCTGCCCACCTCCTCTCCCAGCTCAGCCCCTCCCAGTTCCCTTTCCGGGCCCCACGCCCCACCTGGAGAGCCAGGCTGATGGGGACCCTGTCCCCTGAGGGAACTGGCTCAGCCCAGCATGTGCCTCAGCTGTGTCCTAGATCAGGGCTTTCAGCACCCCACAGGCAACCCTTGGGGTCCCCATACCTGTGAGATGATTTCCTTTTGTGATCCAGAGCCCAGTTTGGTGCCGAATCTTCCCCATGTTCTCCAGTGCTCTGGGAGGTCGATTTCCTCCCAGCAGGACGGTGACAGCGTGACTCTGGAAATGGAATGGGTCCCACTGAAGTATGACAGGTACAGGGACCAACCCTCTATCTCTGGTGTCACCACCCAAGCCTCAGAGACCCAGACCCTAGTGTCTCAGGGAGAGCTCCCGGGCCTGTGGTGTAGGGGCATGTGACCTATTTCCTGGGAAGGGAGGATGTGGCAGGGGGAGGCCAGTGACCGTGGGCTCTCTGTCCCTGGGGAAAGATCTGAGGGGAGCTCTTCTCTCCATTTGTTGGAGCCCTAGCTCAGTCCCTCCTGTGTCCCTGTGGGGCCCTCTGTCCTCTGCCTGCATTGTTCTCATGGGGTCACCTGCCTTTCCCCATGGGTGATGCCAGGAAGGAGGGGACTGCACAGGGACGCGTGGCCTAGCAGGGTTCTCCCAGGATCAGGAAGGAGCAGTGGGAACAGAAGCTTGTGGGAGGGAGCCCACGGGGCCATTGGTGCCCAGGTGGCAATCAGGCGGCATCTCCACCTCCACCTCCAGCCAAAACCATGACCAAGAATCACCACTCTGAGTGTTGGCTGTGAGTCTCATGTCGCCCCCTGGAGGTCATGAGGAGACTTGTGGCCAGTGTCAGGGCCTGTAGCAGTGATGCTGCCCAGGGTCCCAATGGTGAGAGCTGGCCCTGACCCTGGGCACAGGTGGCTCTGACCTACAGGCTGCAGGGTGAGTCCTGTTCAGTGTGGGTCCCCAGGGTGCCTGACACCGGTGCATGGTGAGTCAGGGAGAGGAGAGGAGCTGTCCTGAGGACTCCTGCTCAGAGTGGGGAGAACTTTGCACCTGGGGATGGGCAGCCTCAGGAGGGTCCATCTGACTCACGGTTTCAAAGGCGGTGTCTCTTGAAGATCATGACCAAGACGGTGCACTGTTAGGAATCCCTGGGACGCCCTTGCCTTCTGACTTTTGGACAGAGTGGTTTTCTGTTTATTTTCCCTTCTGAGAGTCAAAGGCATGTGGGAGGCTTTTCCTGTCTGCCTGGTCCCACATGTGACCAACCTGAGCACAGGTGACTCCTGCAGACCCCGCGAAGAGCACCCAAGGCTGGCAGTGAGCAGGGAGGGGCTAGGAGGGCTGTCCCTCTCTGTGAGATTCAGCGAAGATGGAGGGACCAAGTGGCTGAGGAGTGTGGCTGAGGCGGGGCACAGGCAGGTTTGGGTTCCCTGATGGGGTGGAGGGCACCCCAAGCCACAATGCAAAAGCAGCACCTGCTGTCACAGGGAGAGAGCAGCAAGGAGGTCACTCTTCAGGCTGGGGCTGGCAAGAGGTGGAAAGAAGCCTGGGAGTGGCCTTCATGCAGGATGGTGAGGCCAGGTGTGTTGTACGTGTCTGTCCCTCTCACAGGTGTGAGGAGGGATGGGCTGAGTGTGTCCTTGGCAGTGGAATTTTCTAGTGGCTGCTACCTCAGTGCCTGTCCCTGGAGAGGGTTAGTAGTGACCTGAAGCTGTGCTCTGGACAAAAATCTGGTGTGGCCTGCTGCCCTCAGGGAGGGAGGAGAGGGACCAGGGTGTTCCTGCCTGCTGGAGCCTCAGGTGTCGCACCTGGTGAGTCTGCTCAGACACCTGCCGTGGGTGAGGATGTCAGAGCTGGTGGTTGTCACTGATCTGAAGCTGGCATGTGTGGGGCAGGTGTTCAGGAGCCCAGAGCACAAGGCACCTGTTGAGGGGAGGGTCTCGGGGGCTGAGCAGGTTCATGTGGTAGGAAAGGGAAGGACTCCTGGAGAGCCAGCACCTTAACTCTGCCTGTTGTGATCTGAGGCTGTGTCCAGGGAGAAACAATGGCTGCAGGGACAGGGTACAGAGGACCCTGGGGACTGCTCAGATGCAGAAGGTGGGGAGGAATCCACCCCATCCAAGTCAGAGAGGCTCCCCTGAGCGCACAGGAGACCCTTCCCCTGGGCAGCCTGAGTGGTGTGAGTGTGACCTGCAGGGACACTGCAGGGGCTGCACCTGAGTCCCTGGAGGGCCAGGGCTGGGTCTATAGGAGCAGAGTTGTCTACGTGGATGGGATGAGATGGGAATGACTAAGATGGGGTGACACTCTTGGCTTGGAGGACTCTGCTTGGCTCAGTTTCCCAGGGGCTCACGTGTGGCTCAGGGAACAGGATGCTGTGCTCAGGGGGAGCTCCAGCTGGTGTGGTTCCCGGATGGGCCCTGTGGCCAGAAGTAAGTTAAAAGTTCCCATCAAGTTTTAGGATGCAGCAGTGACCTGAGGCACAGGGGACTGTGTTCCTGTGCACACGCTGGAGCTTCGGAAGAATGCAGCTTCAGGACACCTTGATTCTGTTTTCTGAGTCACTGTGTTGGAGCCAGTCTGTGGCAGCAGCACCAGGAATCCAAGGCTAGAGAAGTCACCGTGTGTGACCTGATGCTGTGTTCACCCAGGACGAGCCTCACTAGAGCTGAGTCACGGGGGAATCTCTGAGGGTCTCTTCCTACTTCTCATCTCAGGACAGACAACCCTCAGGCATCATCAGAGCATCCCTGAGCTTTAGTCCTTGGACCTCTGATTTCCAGGAATGTAGTGGCCTGATCCACGTGAACCTACCTGAGAACATCAGCCTTCCCAGCCTTCAGGGAAGGAGTCAGAGCAGTGGCCCAATTGTGTGGAGGAGGCTTCAGAAGATATCCTGGGCCCCAGGTCAGGGAGGAGACCCTCTGTCCCATCACCATGGAGCCTAGAGAGCCCCATGTGGGGAGCCCTGAGCCTCTGCTCTGGGTGCTGGAGTGTGGAGAGGAGGCTGGTCCCAGGGAGACCAGGCAGGGCAGAGTGGACGGTAATGGGAGGGCAGGGCTGGAGCTTTGTGCAGGGCCTGAGGCCCTTGTTCAGGGCTGAGTCTGGGTCTGGCCCTGTCCCCTGATTACTCTGACAGTAACTGTCCATGTCCCAGGAGAGGTGACGATGTCCTGAGTTCTGACCTTTGGGCAGTGAAGTAATCAGTGGCCCTGGAGTGTGAGAGCCACTGAGTGCTCTGCTGGCTGCAGGGCCTTGGGACCCTCACCCTTCCCTGTGGACAGACCCCACCTTTGCCCTGGCTCCACCTCCCAGCTCCTGTCTCCCAGGAAGAGAAACCCTGTGGGAGCAACTTAGAGACCACGATTCCCCTGTGTGACACAGGAGAGAGCTGACCTGGAACTTGAGGGGAGTGTCTGCCAAGAGACGTTCCCACAAGAACCAAAAGAGTGAAGGAGGGAAGGGGGTCTTTATTCAGCGCCTTCCCAGGTGACCCCCAGGGCCCTTCCCTCTCCCTGAAGCCCCTCCTCCTGGGCACGGGCAGCCTGGTTCTGGCCATTCAGAGCCCAGGGCAGCCTGTCTGGGTCTCCAGGAACCCAGGGACCCTATAGCGCTTCAAGGTGCCAGAGTCTCCCAGGGCTCTGGTTGCACTTCTGCCCCATCACCCAAAGTCTGTGGTCCTAGTGGGACCCTCCCTCAGCCCATCTGGGCCTTGTCTGGTGGGAACTAAGAAGCCACATCAGCCTTGTGGTTGACCCGGCAGTAGATGTCCACGTCAGGGTTTAGTAATTCCTGAAAAAGACCAAAGAGGCTCTGACCCTGTGGCTCTCTGAGAACAGGAACCAGGTGTCCTAGCCCCTGGCCCACCTGACTGCTCTGCCTCTGCCCCTGGCTGGGCTCAGAGGATCCTGTTCTCAGGCCCCTCCCCCTCTTACTCTCCACCCCCGATCCTGTTTTGGCTGCTGTTTCCTGGAAAGCTCAGGAAGGTCTGCGTACCTCCTGGGTCCCCCTTAAACTGTGGGCCAGAATATGCCTCACTCACACTCACCTGGTAAATGGGAACAGCAACTCTGTGACCAGGGATGGGGGCCTGGGCAGGGAAGGAGAGTGGACATCAGTATCACCAAGGGAGGGTCATCAAGGCTGAGACTCCAGGGAGCAGTAGAAGGTGGTGCTTGAAGGTTCTGGTCCCTGACAGGCCAGAGCTTACTCCCTGTGTTTGCTTTAGACCTTCACTCTCAGAGGTTACCAGCTCCGAGTCCTGAGCACCAGCCTCCGCTTCTGGAGAGACAGCCCAGTTTCTGTCCACAGGTTGTCCCCCATCATTAACTCAGAATGACTGATAGAAGATTTGAGCATCCCCTCTGTAGCTTCTAGCCTCAGGGGTCCCCTGAGACAGATGGAGAAAAGCAGGATGGACTGAGGTCAGAGTGAGGGTGGCCCTATCCCTGAGATGGCCCAGCCTCTGTCCAGGGTCAGGCTAAGCTTGTCCTGGTCCAACATGAGAGGGGGTGTCTGTGCTGTGCTGGGGTTGACAGGGCCCTGCCCTGAGCCTGCTCAGCTGGGTCCCGGGTATGTAGGGAGGTGGGGACTTAGCAGGGAGGTGACTCTGTAGGAGGACCTTGGCCTGGGGAAGAGACAAGAGTCAGCAGGAGGGTGTGAGGAGGGCTGGCCCTGCTGCAGGAGGGGCTGGGGGCCTTTAGAGTATCTGGGCAGACAGCATGTCCTCGGGGAGACCCTGTAGCCCTTTCCATGGCCCAGGGAGCCACGGAACCTGATGCCACAGTTGTGAGCTGGCTTGACCAGTTGTGTCTGCTGACCTGAGTGTTTGAGGACAGGGTTCTTGAAGCACCAGGAAAATGACTCTGAAGGGGTGGCAACTGCAAGAGTGGACACTGAGGGGCAGGCCTAGGGGCTCCCAGCCACCCGCATTCTGAAGGGGCACTCACCAGGTCTTGATGCTGGGGTGCGGTGGTCTCTGAGGCCATGCTGGGCACCAACCCCAGGAAAGGTCAGGCTTAATCATGAGTGTGCAGGGAGAGGTCATGATCGGGGGTCAGATAGGAGATGAGGAGGGTACCCCATTTCCAAGGAGGGTGTGAAACCTTTCTTACTCCATCAGGTCTGTATACACAGGGGCCCAGGAGAGGGGAGCTGAGGAAAAGCCTTAAGAAGCCCCTTCTGCCCTGGGCCAGAGGTGACCGTCCCTTCCAGATGCAGACCCAGGAGAACATTGGCCGAGGGACCCAGAAAACGGACTGAGGGATGAGGAAGAATTAGAGCAGGAGGGTTTGACTGCGTGGAAGGGTCCAGGCCCTGGGGGCAGGAAAGTAGGGACACTCTGTGGGCAGGACACTGGGGGAGCCACGTCCATGTTTACTCTTCCTGACCTCAGTGTCCCTGCTGTGGCCACACACTCTTCTCAGACCAGGATGTGCTGAAATGTGACAGTGGCCTTGTCCTCTGTCCACCCACCTGGCCATAAGGCAAAAGGCATTCCAGGACATACTATCCTGGTGAGTCTTTGGACTCCCATCTACATATCAGGGGTCGTGGGGAACCCAGCTGCTGAGGAGGGCCGACCACACCAGCCTTCAAGGCCCCTCTACTTGTGTTGAGTGACCTGGGAAAGACCACCCCTCAGATACACAGCTTCACCCCTCACTTTGGGTGAATGAAATAAACTAGGACATGGCAATTCTGAGCAGGAAATGCGGCACCTTGGCCCTGTGAGGAAAGGACAGTGCTGTGGGGACAGGTCCCTAGTGACCAGCACACAGAGGAGGGAGCTGTTGAGGCAGCAGCCCAGGGCCACCAGCTGGTGAGGAGGATCTGGGGCTGATGAGAGGATGGTGTCCTCGGGAAGTGGGGAGGACAGAGTCAGGCCAGAGTCTGAGGATGGGTCTCCTTCCCTCAGGCCTGGGGTCACCTGGGGTGGGATCAGGTGGGGGAAGCCTGGGTACCTTCCAGTTCTTGTGTGGAGCAGGAAACACCCCAGAGCAGCCACTAGAGCCACCCCGACCAGGACCCCAGTCACGATGCCAGCGACGGCCCCCACAGGGAGGCCTGGGGTCCTCTCTTGTGCTGAAAGAGAAGAGAAAGGGGCTGAAGGTCAGGTCTTCAGGGGAACCAGCTGGGCCCTGCAGGGGGCCCACACAGGGTGGAAGGAAATGACCCCACAGGCCCAACTGTGGTGTATCATGTCGTCACCATGTCCTCCCGACTCTCTGCTTCTGGCGATTTCTTCACGTTTGGTTTTGAAACCTGCATGTGCTCTAGCCTGACCCTCTCCACACGCAGCTGGGCCACATCCTACTCATGCTCCTGTTAAGGTCTCTTCCTCTTTTCTTCCTTCCCATTACATGGCTTAGGGCTGCCCTCACAGACTGTCTAGCCCAGGCCTATCCTCGGTACAGATCAGATCTAAGGTGACATCAAGGCACCTAATTTCTACGTAGTCAACCACATTCTCTCCAAGCTCTGGCATCTACCTCATGCTCATGGCTGGTGCCATATTGTGGCCCTTGACAGTGGAAATATATGACAGAAGCACTGGGTGGGACGGGGGCCACTCACAGATCACAGCCAGTCTGTAGCGGTCACTCCTGGTGGAACTGGCGGGGTTGGAGGCCTCACATGATACTCCCCGGCATCCTCCTGTCTGATGGGGTCTGTGCCGAGGGTCCTGTGATCCACCGACAGCTGTATCCTGTCTGTGAGCTGCAGAGTCTTGTGTGCTCACGCACATAAACAGTTTAGTTTTGCTGTGCTTAGCAAAAAAAGGAGTTCTATGAGAAAATATGAACTCTTTGAATTGTGTCCTTGTTGCTGTCTTAAGAAGATAAAAGAATGTTCTTCCAAGTGTAAAATTTATATATATGTGTGTGTGTGTCTGTGTGTGTGTGTGTGTGTGTGTGTGTGTGTGTGTGTGTTTGCCTGGGAATAACTAACCACAAGTTAATTGATTAGAAATACGGAGCACTGTGACCATAAACCAAGTTTTCCTGAGAATGTTTATCCATGCTTGTAAGGATTAAGCTGCCAAAAGGAGGTTTTTTCTTTTCCCTTGTTTTAATTAACAATGCTGTGTAAAAGAAGGAGAGAAAAAAGTAAAGATGGTGCTCATTTCTACTGGATGTGTGTGTGTGCGTCTTTCTTTAAGCATCTCTGCTGTACCAGGAATTACAGATTGTCAGCGGGTCTGACAGAGTCTGGCTATTGAGGATCCACATGATGGAGATTCCAGTGTCACCTGAGAGGCAGGTCATGGCCACGGAGTGTGGTTCTGTGTTGGTGGCTCTGAGGGAGGGCTGGGCCACAAGCCCTGTGGAAAAACAGCAAGGGGCTGACTGACAGCGGGCCTGAGGCCTGGGGCCCTGTCTGTCCTCAGAGACGTCTGTCTGTTCTCAGGGCACCTGTCCCTCTGTGCTCACCACACCTAGTCCCAGGAGAAGGAGATGCCCAGGTGCCCTTGCCCAGATGTGGCTTCTGGGACTGTGCCCTGGCTGATGACCACTTCCAGGAGCCACCAGATCAGGTAGCCAGTAAATCATTGCCCCCCAGAGGCCCTCAACAGGAAGCCAAATTCCAACCCTGGCCACATGTCCTCAGGGTCACCTGGAGCCAGGAGCCTCGGAAGGAGGTCTGGAGCAGGGCTTCCTGGGCTGACCTTCTCTGAGGATTCCCTGGACCTCAGGCCAGGTCTGACTCAGTCCTGCAGGGTCTTTCTCAGGGCCATGTTCTTGGGAAGGACACAGGGGCTGGGCTGAGTGTCCCACCAGACCACCCTTCTCTCTGCCAGTGGATTCAAGGCAGAGGACTCGGATCTTCTGAAGTCTGTCTGCACTGTGTGTGTCCTGCACTAAATGCTCCAACTCCACTGTGAGGACATAATGCACAGGAGGAGGGAGGCAGACCCAGGTCACAGGGTCCTGTATGTGAACTGGAGTTAACCCCTCCAACACCCAGAGGGCTGGGCATCACTTACCGTGTACAAGGAACTCCCCAGTTATTGCTTCAGACATTAAATTGACATTTACAAGTTTTCAGAGTGTGGATACCTGCATACTCCTATGTCACATTGAGGAACAGCAGAGACCAATTGGGATATTATGACTCTCTTCCTCCACATGCAGGCCCTGGAGTAGTGGTCTGTGTGAGCATCAAGTATGATATAATTTCATGGCTGTGGCCTATTGTTTCTCCTCTGTACCAGGTGTAGCCTAGAGATTCTCCGACACATTGTGGACAAGTAGAAGAACATCTGTCCCTTCAGCAACATTGAAAGGCACTGGTTAAATAGTGATCGGAGCAGTGGGGTGCGGGTTCCAGAAGGTTAACAGTGAGACTAGGAGGGAAGAGAGAGAAATCCATCAATACTAGGCCCTTCGTACTGAGTGGAAAGATGGGGCCCAATCCTCAGAAGGAATCTTCATCTTCAAGATGGGGTGTGGTATGTGTGCGTGTGTGTGTGTAAGTGTGTGTGTCCCTGAGTCAAGACCAGCTGATTGATCTACATTCCTTCAGTACCCCTGTACCTGTCATCCTCTCTTAGGAACACCTTTCCCCAGGTGTCTGCAAGGCTGGCCCCTGAGAGCCCTCAGATCCCTGCTCACACCCAGGGCACCTGGGTACCCGCCTCCCCTGACCACCTCCTTACAGGCCCCAACTCTTCCCTGTGGACATTTCCCTGCTCTCTGCCCTCCTAGATCTACACAGCACCTGGCCTCACCTGCAGATCTCCCTCTGGCCTGGCTTCCTGCCCTCTAGAGAGGAAGCTCCAGGAGGCAGAGACTAGTCTGACCCTTGTGGTAGCCCAGGGCCTGGACCAGGCTCAGCCTCCTGTGGATGAGTGAAGCTGTGTCCCCACCCTGAGGGTCCAGGTGTCTGTGTGCCAGTGTCTGAGGCTGGTGGCTGCAGACAGTGTCCACTGCTCAAGTTGCCTTTCTATTTGGAGAGTGGCCCTGACAGAGCTGTTAACAATGATTGTCAAAATACAACGGCCCCTGGTGAGTAACTTGGGCAAGAGAACCCCTGAGCTTTCCATCCCCTTCATCAGCTCCAGGTCACTGAGAGTTTCCTGTTTGTGGGCTTCTGTCTGTCTTCTGTGTTCTGTTCCCATCGGGTTCTCAGTGAAGCCCTGTGTCTCCTGGGAGGGTCATGTCCTCCCCAGGGGGCACCAGCAAGACTGTGCTCCACATCCCGTCCTCTTTCAAGGAACTGTCCCTTCTTACCTGCCAGCAGGATCCCCTGCCAGGGGATGCCCCCTCTGCAGGGACAGGCTGGGGGGGGCTGCATGGTCCCTGCTGCTCTGTCCCCTCTGTGGAAGGAGCTTCACTGAGACCCGCTGGGAAGCCCAGGTCCAGGCCACTCAGCCCTGCTGCCTGCTCCTCTCTGAGCTCAGCCTCCTCCCAGGGCAGGAGCACTTTCCTGGGTCACAGGGCTGGGGGCGGGGTCTCTGTGGAGGAACCTCTCTGTCCCCTCCCTCTCAGTCCTGCCTCCTGTCCCTTCTGCTTTCCCTGTTGGGTTTCACTACTGCATGCCACACCCTGAGGAGCAAGGCAGGTGGGGACGCTGTCCCCTGAGAGAAGTGGCTCACCCAGCACTGGCCTCAGCTGTGTCCTGGCCTCAGGGCTCTCAGCACCACACAGGGAACCCCTGGGGTCCCCTCACCCCTGGGCATATTTCTTTTATGATGAGAGTCCCAGTTTAGCCCTGTGTCTTCCCCAAAGCTCTAGGAAGGAGGATTTCCTCCCAGCAGGAAGGGGACAGAGAGAGCTCTGGGGTCTAGAAGGGGGCCCACTGAGTGATGGCTGGTGAGGGGACCTGCTCTCTGTCCTGGTGTCCCCAGCTTGGCCTCTGAGTGGCTATCTCAGGACTTCACACCCTTTGTGTCCTGGGAGGGGAGGACTGTGGTAGTGGAGGTAGGTGACCATGGGCTCCTTGTCCTCAGGGAGAGATTTTAGGGAGACCCTCTCTCTCCATTTTTTGGTGCAGCTGTGGCTCAGGCCTGCCCATGCCTTCCTTGGGTGGCCTTGTCCTCTACCTAGTGATTCCTCTGTGGTCACCCTGACTTTTTCATGGGTGATACCCAGAGGCAAAGGCCTGCTCAGAGGGTCCTCACAGGCCCAGGAAAGAGGGGGGTGGGAGCCGAGTAGGTTCGTGGGAGGCACCCTGTTGTCTATTGTTCTATTGTGGATGGAAATCTCGCCACATTTCCACCTCCTGAGCCAAAGCCTAGTAGAAGCCTCAGGATCCATTTTCCAAGTGTTGACTGTGAGTCCCATGTCGCCCCCTGGAGGTCATGAGGAGTCCTGTGGCCAGTGTCAGGGACTGTAGCATGGATGCTGACCAGGGTCCAACTGGTGAGAACTGGCCCTGACCCTGGGCAAAGGTGACCCTGACCTACTGGCTGCAGAGTGGGTCCCGTTTACTGAGTGTCCCCAGGATACCTGACTCTGTCCAGTGCAGGGTGAGTCTAGGGAGAGGACGGGAGTTGTCTTGGGGACTCCTTCTCCAGAGTATGGAGGACTGTGTTCCCAGGGGATGGGCAGCCTCAATAGGGGCCATCTGTGCCTGAGCATTCAAAGGAAGGACATGGGGAGGTGTCTCCTGAGGCTTTAGGGGACAAGCACTGGCCTTGTGAGCTATGTCTGTGGTTGGCTAGTGTCGTGTGAGTATTATGGAGATTATCTGGCCAGATACATGACACAACCTCTCATCCCAGCTGTTCAGGAGGCTGAGACAGGAGGATCGCTAGTTTGAGGCCAGCCCATGCAACTTAGTTTGACTTTGTCTCAAAATAAAAAAAAAACGCAATGCAGTTCAGTGTTAGAGTGCTCCTGGGGACAATCCCTAGTCCCTTTCACCTTTCTCTCTCTCTCTCTCTCTCTGTCACACACACACACACACACACACACACATTAAGTAGAGTGGGTGTATCTTATACACATCTTTCTTAAAAACTTTTCATAGTGTAATACTTATTACAAAAATGTGCTCTATTAACCCTTTATACTGCAGAAATACATGCCATGAGTCCATTTGAATATACAACAACCACTACTATCTCCAGGATTTTTTCATCACTTGCACTAAAACTCTGACGATTAAGCTATCACGTTTCAGGACCCTCTAGCCTCAGGTAACCTTGAATCTCTTTCCTGTCTCTATGAATTTCCCTATTCCAGATATTTCATATAAATGAAATTATACAGGGCTGGGGCTGTGGCTCAAGTGGTAGCGCGCTCACCTTGCATGCATGAGGCACTATGTTCGATTCTCAGCACCACATAAAAATGAAATAAAGATATTGTGTCCACCTAAAAACTAAAAAATAAATATTAAAAAAATAAAATAAATGAAATTATACAACCACATGTCATTTGCTTCTTGTTTAATCATGTTTTCAGGTTGACCCAGGTTGTAGTGTGCATCAGAACTTTATTTTTTATGGCCAAACAATAATCCAACATATTTGTAAGCCATGTTTATTTATGTATTCCTCTGTTGATGGACACAGGGTTGTTTCCACACCTGCCTGTTATGAAGAATGGTGTGGCGAGCCTTAACCTGGGGGAGCTATTGGAGTCCCTGTTTCCCATCCTGTGGGCACATGCCCAGCCGTGGGAGTGCTGGGTACATGGGCTTCTGCCTAGCTCTGGCAGGAAGTGCCCAAGAGTTCTCCACTGTGACTGCAGCTCTTCAGAGTCCCTGGGGAATGTAGGAAGGTGTGGGGTGAGGTGTCATTGTGATTTTGATTTGCTTCCTTAGTGACTGATGACACTGAGCGTCTTGACATGTGCTTATTGGCCACTGGAACATCTCTGGAGACAGGCCTTCCAAGCCCTTTGCCCTCCCCCTTCTCTTTCACTGCTGGGGATTGATCTGAGGGGCACTGTACCTCTGAGCTACACCCCCAGCCTTTACATGTATTTATTTATTTTTGTTTTGGGACAGGTGCCCAGGCTGGCTTCAAACTTGTGAATCTCGTGTCTTAGACACCTGGGATTACAGATGCCCAGGACTGTGCAAGGGTCCTTGGCGTATTCTAAATTTAGGTTATTCTTTGGTTGCAGATTTTTACCCATTTGTTATATAATCTAGACATGAAATCCATATCACAAAATATATCTGCAAGTATTTTCTTCTATTCTTTACTTTTTCTTAAACTCATGCCACATTTTGTTTATAAGTAATTTCAACAAAAGCATATGGGTCCATACTGGTTTACAAAAACAAGTTCAGTCTTTTATGGTAAATACTTTTAGTGTTTTAAAAAATTAATTCATTTTCATATTTGAATGTCTTTACAGGTAAGTATTCATACTCCTGCATCCTGCTTGTTGGAAGGTACTGTTGAGGATCAGATCACAGGCTTCCTCTTCCCAGTGTGCACAGAACTCCCTGTGTTCACAATGTCATGGACCCAGCAGGTGTCACTCATGTGTGGCTACAGACCCTTGGGAAGCCCACAGTGCTGTGGAGGTTCAGGCAGCTGTGTGGCTGTACCTTGAATCACTTCTTCTCCAGGGACTTCATGTGATTAGTAGTGACAAGCCCCAGTCAGTCTCTGCCCTCTTACACTCAGTTCTTCTGCCAAGAAGGGGAGGATTTTAAATGCCGAGTTGTTACTGGAGGTTGGTGTAGACACTGTTGATTGTCACAGCTGGGGGAGGGGTCCTACTGGACTTAGTAGGTACAATTCCAGATGGTGCTCGACACCCCACAGCACACAACCCCACAAGGATGACCAGCCCCAGTGTCAGTGGAGAGAAGGGAGCCCTGCTCTGCGCCCTTCCCCGACCTTCCCAGAGCCTCCCCTCCCCCTGCTTCTTCCCACCCCTCACTTCCCTCCAACCCCCTCCCATTGCATATTCACTTCCATTCTCTGAAGGTGCCCTTTGCCCAAGGTCAGCCCTCACCTGCCCTCTCTGGGGGCCTCTGTTCGTGCCTGGCAGGAAGTGTCCACTAGAGGGCGTGCGCGCTCTTCCCTGAGCTCAGGGGAGCCTTGATGTCCTCTGAGACCAGTGCAGCTGCTCTTCCAGCCCCAGCCCCAGTCCTGGGTGGAGCTGAGGATTTGCTCTAGAGGGAGCTCCTGGGACAGGCACTTGGGACAGGGACCCCAGGGAAGAACCTCACGTAGGAGGTTTGTGCACCTGGACTGGTGACCCAGAACCAACACCAGAGCCTAGGTCATTTGGAGGGGGAATGTCAGACTCAGTGGCTGGACACTCAGGAACCTGATGCCTCTGCCCATGTGGCCACCGGAGGAAATGTCTGTGAGCCTGTGTCCCTCAAGGCTGTGTCACCTGGGATTTTTGTAAATAGGTGTCAGCAGGGCTGCTGTGGAATATTCCAGACTGGACCTACTACAATAGGAGATGGGTCCTCCCAGGTATCCTCACTGGAAGAATCAGGAGGGATGTGACAGTCACCAGGCACAGATGCCCATCAGGGCCTGAGGGGGCAGGAGGATCTGGGCCTCATTGTCACCCCTGAGTGGGGATCAGGGTGTGTCATCCTGCCCACTCACCTCAGCAGGGGCCATTGCTGGTTGTCTGTAGGGAACTGGGCTTCCCACCACCCCCTTGCAGGGCAGAGGAGGATCTGGAACCTTCCCCTAGAGTCAGACAGTGGAGGAAGCAGGTGAGTTAGGAGATGGAGGTGGGAGCTCTTGGTTGATGGGCAGCCAGGAGGCTCCCAGGCTCTGAGTGCTGCAGCTGACAGTGGTCAGAGTGGTCCTCTGGGAATCCAGCCTTGTCCCTGCAAATGTTCATGAACTTCCCACCTCTGTGCTCCTCAGTTCCCTTCTTGAGCTCCTAGCACAGCCACCCTCACAGCTGAGGCCCTGGGTCCTACACCAGCACTTTATCCCCATCTCACTGTGCAGCTCTGTGTGGCTGCCCACCTCTCTCCTACCCCAGGTCTTCAGAGTGGCTGTCCTAACACCACTGTCCCCATAAGGGTAAATGGTCAGCTGAAGGCACAGTCCTTCCTGATGGGCTGAGGGACCAGCAACGGGGGCCCCTGAGTCCTGATTATCAATGAGTCACCTCGAGGTGGCAGCAGCTGAGCAGAGCTGGAGAGAGAGACTGGGGTGGGTGGGACCCAGGAATGACTGAACTTGCTAGTGTAGATGGCAGGTGGCTTGTGCTGTGGGAACAGGGAATTTAATGGGAAATGTGAGGTGTTTTCTTGTTTTTTAGATTTTGGAGTTTGGAGCTGCAGGTTCCCCTGAATGTCCCTGTCAACCTCAGTGCTATGCATGCATGGCACAGACTTCAGATTCCACACTCTGATGCAGGTTGGTACTGGGAG